TGCTAGTAGCATAGCTACGCCATGCACATACATTCAAGAATTATCCATGTATGCTAGCAGCATAGCTACCCTATGAGCATGCATTCGAGAATGCTCCATGTATACTAGTAGCATAGCAACCCCATGCACTTACATTCAAGAATCCCCCATGTATGCTCTCAAGAATGCTAGTAGCATAGCTAGCGCTGCACATACATTAAAGAATGTTCCAAGGATGCTCGTAGCATCGTTACCCCATGCACATATATTCAAGAATGCGCCAAGTATGCTCGTAGCATAGCTACCCCATGCACATATATTTAAGAATGCCCCAAGTTTGCTAGTAACATCGCTACCCTATGCACATACATTCAACAATGCTCCAAGTATGCTAGTAGCATCGTAACCCCATGCACATATATTCAAGAATGCTCCAAGTATGCTAGTAGCATAGCTACCCCATGCACATACATTCAAGAATGCTCCATGTATGCTCCCAAAAATGCTAGTAGCATGGCCACCGCTGCACATTCCATCATTGTTCGTGTCTGTCTCGTGTGATGTTGTCGTTAGAGCGAACACGACGACACGCACGTAAAGACACGGACTGGACATGTTTGTATAGGGCAGGGGAAACCTGTTCCAGTTTACTGGTGTAGTTGAGAATTTTTTTAACGTGGAGATTTTTTTTTTTTTACTTGGGGGATGGCTGAAAACATTGAAAAATAATACAAAGCTGTGGGGAGGGGGTTTAAGGGTGGGAAGGGGAACAAGGGGGTCGTCCTTAAATCATGTCAAACTTTCAAGGCTTTTTACTCTACAGTTTCTCATGTCCATTGTCACACGTCGTCACAACATATATATACACACACACACACATACACACACACACAACCCTCTTCTTTAAAATAACATCACTCACTTAACCCTCTCAAAAACCTATTATCGAAATTTCACATTTTTCATTTCTTATGTGTTTACGAAGGACCAAATGTATTGACCTACCACTCCACATTATTTCCTCATTCCATTACATAGAGCAACTTCACTCAAGTCTGAAAATCACAATCCCTTAGATGTTTGAAGTTTTTATGTAACACCCATGTGGAATACCCTATGTTGAAGGGATCCGTCCTATTATCTTATTTAATTAAGTTGTTGCTTTATCGAGTTTATTTTAAGAATTAATGTTGAATTCTAATTTGATCTAAACAACATGTAATTTATTTTAAATACCACAGCATAAAAAATTAACTCAAGCATCGTATGCGGTTGGTGCCATTTTTTAGGCATACGTAGAATCTATATCAATACAATTATTATAAGCTTACGGGATGGGGGCTAGATAGTAACCCCATACAATATGAGTTGCGTTCAGGGGCGTAGCGAGGGGGGGGGGGGGGGGTCGGGGGGTGCGGATCGCACCGGGTGACACCATTTGGGGGGGGTGACACCAAGGCAAAAAATAGCAAAATATATAGAGAAAAACTCGAGGGGGGGGTGCAAATCGAAAACTTGAGGGGGGGCAAATCGAAAATTTTAAAGTTTGTCCCTGGGAAGGGTCTCTATGCCTCTGGGGGGTGACACCATTAAGTGCCGCACCGGATGTCACCCGACCTCGCTACGCCACTGGTTGCGTTTAAAATAAAATAAAATTTAAATATTTAAATTTCTAAAGGAGATTTGTAAACCATCGTCCCTGGTATCAGGACAATATTAATTCTACGTTAAAAGTTACATCGTGAGAGGGTTTTTTCGTAGTCAAGTGGGATTTTCGACATACCGGAACCTTGAAATTTGTTATCTTGATTTCCTTCCAATGAAAATTTATTTCCACGTTACTGTCGTATCTGATTATCTAGGCCTGCTTCCATTTAAATTTCTTCCCTTAGACACGATCGTGTCTGTGACAAATATCTTAAAAGATAAGCTCGTGTTTGATAAGCGTATTTGGACGTGATATCCTGACTGAATAAATAAACTGTGTTTAAAATACCAACCGAAATAGGCCAGATGACGCACAGTGATTTTTTTTATGTGGGGATTTTCAAAACAAATTCCAAGCTTAAGAAAATTATTGCCACGGAATCATTGTAGTTGATGTTTTGTGCTTTTTTTTTTTTTTTTTTTTTAAAGATTAAAAATAGTTTCAGGGGACTTCTGTAGCCTTGGTTTTTCCAGGGAGGGAGGTTTGATTGACTGCTGAACTAACCAGCCATCCGGTAGAGTTTTTGGGTCAGTGGGCTGAAGACCCTGCTAAAAATACTCCATTAATGAAGGTCCTGTCCACAACACTGCTCCTGTTTTCCCACAGTGTCGTCATTAGTGTGGGAGGTACCTTATTATAGTGTCATCCAGTGTTGATAGATGTGTAACATATGTGTAATATATAAATTTGATGCATTGTTAAATTAATTGACCAGGTACATTTTCTCATTAAAATAAATTTTAAGCAATTTTCGTTTTGGTGTCACCGTTTTGGGTAGTGTCAACTGGTATGGTCCCGCCTCAACCCTGTGACGTCATTGACCACTCCACCACACTGACCACACCACCACTCTACCTCTCCACTATATTGACCCTACGATACTATTCCACCGCCCTATAGCAGATCCACCCCCTCCCCTACACCCACCCACACCACCGCCTTTATCTAATTTAACTTAACAAATGTAGCAGATCCACCCACTACCCTACACCCACACACACCCCCCACATGTGTCTACTTTAACTATACAAACGTGCAGCTTTAAAAATCTCAGCGGTTTTTTTTTTCCTACGTTAATTTAACAACAAAAATCATAAAAGGCGTAAGATTATAAAAATGGTCACCTTATTGAACTAATAGCATTCCCCCATGCTGTTTCGCGAAAAATTCTTCAACCATTCCTTTACTTGAGGCTTATTTTAAGCCACAGAACAACATTAAACAATCGCTAGGCCTACAGTAACCGGAGCACGTCAAATAGGTATGGTGGTATCGTGCTGTCGCTGGCAAAAGCACATCTTAGACTACGTGCTGGGTAAACGCATGAATGAATTTTAACACAAGACGTTGCGATAGAAAACTGATTGTGCTTCGCTGACTATCGGCACGTTCTATGTTCTTTTGTCTTTTTTTTTTTAAATGTGGCCTACTCTAACATTCTTTATTCAACCAACACTGATATTTATTGAGGACTATAGAATTTGAAAGAAAAGTTGTGTTTGTTGATTTAGTTGGATAAATTGATACGCCATTTTTGTTTTTCATCATCTTAGTGATTCTGAAATTCGAAATGTTTAACTTCCCATCTTTTTAGTTTTTTAAAGTTGTAGCCCCAAACGCTACGTACTCTTTTGTTTTATTCCATAAATAAGTCTATACAGTAGTAGTGAAAATCACACATTTCTTTTAGTAGCCTACTGTTAAACCGCTATTTTTCATTAAATAATTTTTAAATAATTGTCTCTCCAAGTAAATTATCATTTTCATGCAGTTAAAAAATATCCCATTTGAATAATTAGCTTTGTTTACCTTACTATGGCCTTTTGGGTAGGTTTTCATCTAGGGCTGAGCGAAGGGTTGTTATATGAGTTAAGGCTTGGTTTCAACCTCTGCAAAATTACTAAACGATAACCACGTGGCACTCTACGCCCTTAAATCAACAGTACCATCAACCATCATAGCAGTGCCTCGCCTTTATTTATCGTAAAGAAGGGGATGGGAAGATGCTTTAGGCGGTGCTTGTATTTGCATGGGGCGGAAGTATTCCGCGGTTACTATTATAGATAGATTTTTAATGATACAAGATGAACACTTGGCATGCTCGCTGTGTTGATATTTAATAAAAGGGAAATAGATTGGTATTCATCAGTGTAGGTGGCTGCATAACACAGTGCTAAACATCCATCTCGGTTTACTTATAGAGTGGTGCGCTTGTTTGACCAATCAATAACATCGTTATGGATGGTTGATCAAGCACTGGTAGTGGTACAAGAATAACACAGCCCAACTCAAATGAACAAGACACGTATAGATCTACTAGTAGGCCTACTTTTTTGCAGTTTTTTCTTCTTCTTGGTGTTGTATTGTTAGCAAAACGTCCGTTAATAAAATGGCTAGCGTAGAGCAGGGGCTTGTGTTTGGGTTTTTAAATTATGTCTGCTGTGTATCGTCACATCATTGCTCAACTTCTGCAAACAGTAGCGTAACTGTCAAACCGTGCTAACGTTTATCCTAGACCAGGATTTGTAAACTATGATGCTTGCATGTTTCAATAGCAAGACGGGGTAGATCTAGTGCAGAGTTTCTTCCAGGCATCTCTTCGGGGGGGCGAAGCCCCCCCGAAAATTTTTTACCGCCCCCCCCCCCCCCCCCCCGAACGAAAGGAAATTTATATAATTTATATAGAAAATATATACTTTTAACAGTGTCCGCCCCCCCCCCCCGAAGAAAGTTTACCGCCCCCCCCCCCCCCGAAGATTTCAAGTGCCCCCCCGGAGAAAAAAGTCTGGAAGAAACACTGATCTAGTGCTAGCGAAATGATTGTTTAACGCAAAAGTACTATAGAAAAATATACAGGGTTTCTCCCAGACTTTTTTCTCCGGAGGGAGGGGGGGGGGGGACACTGGTAAAAGGGTATATTTTCTATTTAAATTCGTTGGTGGGTGGGTATGCGGGTTTTTTTGTGTTTTTTTTTGGGGGGGGGGGGAGGGGGGCAGAAACTCTGATATAGAAAGTGATATGTACATTTTCAAATCATAACTTGCGGATTCAAATGTTTTTGTTGTATCGAGTCTCCTTCGAGTGTTATCGCGTCTTTGTGGAATCCAAGTTTGATTCATGAATATTTCAAATGAACAGTAGATTTCTTCTAGATCTAGAAGATTTAAATGATTTTGATTTTTACATGTTTAAACCACGCCTTTGCTGCGTGTTTTACTTCGTGCTAAGTCAAGGGAAACTACTGAATTTGCATGCCCAGGAAAACATGGCTAGATCTACATAATTTTAGCAAAAAAGATGACTGCATAGGGCATTAGGCGGGAATTTGGCATTAGTTAGAGACTTATAAAACCCTGTTTATCAAATTACATGAGAATTTAATCCTTTAAGGGACGATATAACGTTTAAGGTCTCTATTTGAAAATAAAATGCCACGCCTAAGGAGGTTAGTTAGATCTAGCTAGATCTAGATCTAGATCTAGATTTCTAGATCTAGAATAGATCTAGACCTAGATTCTAGAAGATCTAGACAGTCAGTAACACACTAACACAAGACATGATAGATCTAGATCTAGTATTAATTAGGATCATAGTTAGATCTAAGTGAGTGAGATAAGGGGGGGGGGGCACTGATAAAAGTAAAGTAAATGTTTTCTATATAAATTTTCTGTGGGCTAGTTAATCCGCAATCTGAATCTAGATTAGATCTAATCTAGATATAGATAGTAGATATCTAGATGAATTATAACAAGCCACAAATAAATCTAGATCTAGAACGACTAGAAGTTTAATTAAATTACCTAAAAAACATTTATTTTAATTTGGAAAAACTATTTAAAGTTGTTTAAATCATTTCAATTTTCAAAAAAAAATTTTAGTCTTATTATAATTTATTCAATTTCTCTTTTTAATGTCTAATCAGGCTAAGAAGAGAGAACAGTTGTTTGATGCTCAGAAGCGACTGGAGGAACAGCTTAGGAAGGAAGAAGATGAAATGTTTAGGTTAGTAAACTGTTGTTTTAATTTGTTGCATTTTTGTATAATTATAATTACAGCAAAGTCAAAAATTTAAAAAATCATTTGATGCTAATAATATACTTACTTTACATTGTTTGGTGCTGTTTCTTTTCTTGCAGAGAATTCCAACAAGAGAGAGAGAAAGAAGGGAAAGCAATTAATAAAGAGTTTGATTCAGAATGGGAATCTAAACTGAAGGAGCTAACAGACCGCTATGAAAAAGATTTGGATAAAAAGAAAAAGAAACTGAAAGATTCTGACAAAAAAGTGAGGCCACATCCATTTACAAACATTTCCTATATGGCTGTAAGCTTTAATGTGTGGAAATTGGGTGCAGCTTCTAAAGATTTTATTAGACATGATTACAAATAATATTTACATACCTATAACAGACTTATATTTTGTTAAAGTAGGCTGTGTTGAACTTATTTATAAGACTTAATACACCTTTTAAAAATGTAACAACATTTAGCATGATGGGGGGGGGGGGGGGTTGGAAGGAGGAAATTTTAATAATGCAAAACGTGATTCTTCACCGTTTGTTCTATTTTTGACAAGGTCAAACTTTGGTCCATTTTTTGACATCCTCCAGTCCTAAACTCAAGTTTTTTAAGCTGATGAATTTTTTTTAAAAGAGAATAAATTTGATTTCAACCTTAGTAAGGAAATGCTAATTAGTTTAAGAGATGTAAAAAATTTGAAGTCAGTAAATCCCATCTGAATACTGTTCAATATAATTATAAATTAATGTTGCATAATTTATTATGGGATGGTCAGGGAGTACACATTTTGATTGCTTACCTGAAAATGTTTAGTCATTGTTTCACTGCTGTTTGGGTGTAGTCTACTTCAGCTACTAATTCCTGATGGATAGGTCTACCTGATTTAGGGGGAGGGGGGGGATTAAGTAAATGGGCTGTTGGCGACACAATTCCTTCATATGTCAAAGTAAAAAGGAAACAAGTTTCACAGGGAACTTTCACTTCTTAAAACTAAATTATGCCGGTATATCCAGTATCCATGGATGAAACTTGAAAAGTATATTGTGCCCCTAGAGTTGATTCTTCTAACCATAATCTCTTTGTAATTGATCCTACCTTTCTGGGGGGATAACTATTGGATTAATAAAGCTATTCACCTTTTTTTTTCTTTCAAATTATCTGCCCTTACTTACAAAACTCATTCCTTTTCAACAGCTGATGACAATACAGTTTGAGAATGAAAAGAAATCTTTGGCAGAAACTTTAAGAATGAAGAAGGAGAACAAAAGAAATACAATGACTGTCCGCCTACGACAGAAAGAACAACAGCAGACATCAGAGCTGGTTAAAAAACAGAGCCAAATGATGCTTGAAATGTTGGCCAAAGAACAGCGAGAGTTAAAAGCTGAACTGGCAAAAGAAAAAGCGAAGGTTTTTAGTTGGGTTTTTTTTTCCAGTTTTTCTAGAGTGATCTTAATCCATCACCTTACTTTTACTTGTATACTTCAAAGCATGATCTTTTCACAAAGGCTCTTTGTGGGTTTTAGCCCTAATTTTTCAAATTATCAATTTTAGAAAAGTAAAGCTCTAGTTCGTGTTTACAAGTTTAATGTATAAAAAACGTATCATAATTTGTAAATGTTCTTTTTAGGTTAGAGTACATATTACTGTACATGTTTGCTTTTCTTATTTATTTTATTGAAAAAGGAACAATACTTGAATCAATGTTTTAAAAAGTTAATTTTCTATACTTCAAATAACAAAGATTTCAATTTTATTATCCTGAAATAAAAAGTAACTTTGTAAAAATTTCTTGTCTTTTATTTACTCAAAATATTTCTAATGTTTAATCATTTGAAATAGTAAGCATTGATTTCTTTTTTTAAACTATTTTATCAATAGTTCTTTCAAAAATAATTTTTTAAATTATCAAACCAGTGAAAATTCCTGCTAAATTTCTCTTGAACAAAGGTATCTACCATAGAAGAAAATGGAAAATCCCCACATGAAAATGGAGATGAAAACATAGATGAAGTATTGGATATACTTCCATTGCCTGCTGTTGTGGCACCTCCATCTCCAGAAGCTCCATCATGTCGCAAAGAAGATCTCTTCACTGATGAATCTGTATTTGAATCTATTGATGAACAAGTTATCAAGGTTAGTTGAATTGAAATTTACTTGTCAACAGGACTGTTGTTTTGGTCTTATTTTGATGATTGATCATTTTAAAAAAAGCTCAAATTACCTGTCTACAGGTTAAGTATTCACTGCAATCTTTTTTTGTACTAAAATACATTTAGTAGAGTTTAGAAATGTTTAGAAATAATATCCAAAACTAGTTAAAGTTTGGTTTAGTTTTGAAGAATCTTAGCAGCAATAGCTTTTAAATTTAAGTAGATTTTTTTTTATCTTAAAAGGTAATGAATTTTTAAAAAGTACATTTTTTTAAATGGCTGTTAAAATTATTGTGTAAATCTAAATTTTAGTAATAAAGTTGTTTTTTTTTATTGCTTTAATTTTACACTAAATGGGTTTATACAAAATGTTTTACTGTTTTTTTTCAATTGTTGGGTAAGTGAATTTATATTTGATGTTTACTTTCATTTAGGTTGCAGAAAGTGAGCAGCTAACATATACAGATCTGGTCAGACAATTAACAGAAGACCTGGTGTCAGACTTGGAAAAAGCAAGGTAAAACCCTTGTACTAATACTTATGTATATACGTACTTGGCAATGGCATGGTAGGATAGAGCTTATGACTGATAACCGAAAAGTCTCGAGTTCGGATCCCGGGCTTGAGTCTGTAGTACATCCCTGAGTCCACCCAACTCTAATGGGTACCTGACAATTTAGGTAAACAAAGGAAGCTGGGTATAGTGCTGACAACACTATCCCTCAAATGCACAGGTCATTAAAACAGATTAACTCTACTTCATCTGTCACATGTGTTTTGGGCATGAACGGGAAAAGATGATGAACATGCTTGTTGAATAGATCTTTTATCAGGTTTAGATTTAATAATCTTTTTTTTAATAGAGCCATATATCGCTGGATCTGTGTCAAAGACCTCAATGTGATGGAGTTTGCAGATAGCCTAAATGTAGACACACCCATGGGACTACTCCGAGGCATCAAATTAGGAACTGAAACGTACCATGTGTTGTTTATGAGATTGTGCAGGTTGGTATTGTGCTGTTCTTTTATATTTTCAAATCTTTTACAGTAGTTTCCACACTTATTGAGAATGAGTTTCTTTTAAAAACAAACAAAAAATGAGGTGTCACTCCAAACCTATCTCTTCCCACTCCTTTCTAACATCTAACTTCAAAAGGTATACTAAAGCCATTTGTGACCAATTGTTTATTTAATTTAAACTTATAATGATATGCATAGGTGTAAGCTATAATTTTCATGTGTAGTGTATTAATAAATGCATCATTGATGAATCAGCATCAATTCGTACGAATGATATGTTGTTTTAAAATGCTTGTCAGATTTTTAAAGAGCTTGTCTACTTGTCAAAACATAATGGCCAATCCACAATTTTGTTTTATTTTTACCATTCAGCTATGCTGGTCTTCATTGTGTTGAGGTTAAGGGCCATTCAAAAAGTGTTGGGTATGAACCAGGCATGAAGATAACTCCAAACTCTTTTCAAAATACTTGGAACGCTGTTCTGATTGGTGGGGAATGGAGGCTAATCCAGTGCAACTGGGGTGCAAGGTATAACCACACTGAGTTTATCTAGCATTGGATAACATAACATTGTTTTTTATAAGTAGTTATTGTCATTGAGATGTGAGCAGAGGCATAGGGAGGGGGGGCGGGGGGTGCAGACAGCACCGGCTGACGCCATTTAGGGGAATGACACCAAGGCAAAAAATAGCAAAATATATAGAGAAAAATTATAATTCCACTTAATTAATTTGAGTGTTAAATAGTCTTTTTAGAGGTGCAAATCAAAAGTTTGAGAGGGGGGGTGCAAATCGAAAATTGAAAGTTTGTCCCCGGGAATGGTCATTAAGCCTCTGGGGGGGAGGGGGGGGTGACACCATTATTTGCCGCACCGGCTGACACCCAACCTCGCTATTCCACTGGATGTGAGGTTGTCTTGCATTAAGCAATCTGATTTCTAGACATAAGGTCATGCCCAGGTTTTCACCAAGGTATCATTAGGATGTAACTGAGATCAATTAGCTTAAATAAGTATCAGCCATTAGTTGGGCATTGTACCAGCCTCATGTATCCAGAAACAACATATTAAGATTTGAAAGATTTTCAATATGCGTTGTATATGGGGTTACTTGTTATTTTAAAAAGTAATTTTTTTCTTAAATACATCTTTTAGACATCTTGTGCTGAGTAAAGATAAAGAGGACACAAAAAAGCCTAAAGACCACATTAGATACCAGTATGATGAACATTACTTCATGACTGATCCAGATGAATTCATACAAGAATTTTGGCCTAATGATCCAAAGTGGCAATTGCTAGAGTCTCCTATTACACTTGAGGAGTTTGAAGCTCTTCCTTTTGTAAGGTAAGGTGCTTTGCATTTAGCCTACATTGTCATTAAAATTTAGTTTATAATTGACTTGATGAAATTTTTTACTGCTGTTAAGAAAACAGTTGAAATAGATTCTTAAAATATTAAATGAAACTATTATTAAATATTTTATTATTGGGTTGGCTATGTATTAGACACATTATAATATTTCACATTATAAGATAATGATTTTACTTCATAATCACAAATTAAAGTTTCTAATTGTGTCATAATCAGGATTTTTTTCTATACCTATCACTGTTTCACTTCACCGATGTTGAAACTCTTTTCAACTGCTGAAGAGATTTGTTTTTTGTATCCTGATGAAAACTTTCTTTATTTTGCAGGTCCATATTTTTTCAATACAAAATGCGATTTGAAGGACATAAGTTATCGGTTATAAACACAGATGACAAAGGTGGTGCCAAGATCACCATCAAGGTTCCTGAAGAGCATGAAAATGATCTTGTGTTCTTCTACCAGCTGCGCTTTGCTGATAAAGATAAGCTGAAGGAAACAACTTTCAGAGGGTCGCCTTTGGAACGCTTTGTGTTCCAGACCATGGTGGACAATACTGTTACATTTAGTGTTCATGTGCCTTGCCCAGGACAGTACTTCATTGAAATATTTACCAATAAAATTGACGACAGCGGTAGGGTGGAGGAGAACAACGCTAACGTGGCCCCGTTTAAACTCAAATGTGCGTGCAAGTTTAAGATCGTGTGCGACACACTGTCTGGCAAAATGCATCCACTCCCCAACTGTGCTGCCGGGGAATGGGGACCCAAGAAGGCGCAAAGACATTTTGGGATCACTCCGATGATTGCACCATCTTCAGAGTTTGAGATGGAAAAGGTTGGTATTTTAACGGTTGAAGATAATTTTGAGCTGAAGTTTAGAATTCCTCATCCCTACCAGTTTGTTGCCAAGCTACGGATGAACCAGGTGGAGAGCAAAACTCTGGATCCCTACGTGAATTTGAACACCGAAGGGTCAGTCCTCAGTGTGTACGTCTCCTTACCACAACCTGGACAATACGGCCTTGACCTTTTTGCAAGACCGAAAAATGCAGCAGATTCGCATACACTGTCTCACGCGTGCAAGTACTTAATTAACTGCACCAAAGTGGCATCGCTTGTTCAGATACCAAAAATTGTTCCCCCTCTGACAACCAAACAAAGCAAATTCGGAGCCACTTCAACTTTTGAAAAACTGGGCCTGAAATTAATTTCCCCCAAGGATTCAAAGATTCGCCTGACTAAACCCAGTGGCACGGTAATGGAAATCAAAGTCCCTCAAAAAACTGTTATCTCTTATCAGTTCCTGCGTGAGCCAGATGAGGACAACAGAGACAACATCACACAAACTCAAGAAGGCGGTAGCACGAAATTTTCTGTCAATTTACCCAAAAAGGGCAACTACATGCTGTGTTTGTACGCAAGAAAAGAAGACAGCGAGGACAAGTCCTCCCCCAACGTCTACAACCTGTTAATACAATACTCTCCTGATCCTGAAGAATCAAAAGGCATTGAGAAAAGTTCTGAAAGAAAATCGTTTTTTTCTAAATCAATTTTTAAGAAAACTGATAGCAGAGATAAAATGGTGGTTGAAAAGTTCTCTGACAAATCTTCGGATAAGTCGTCCGACAAGTCAACATAAAATGTTTATGTTTCGGCTATCCATAGCCCTGTGATCAACAGAACTGTAACATATAAATTACTGCTGAGGTACTTAATAGAAGGTTGCTGGTTGAATCATATCCTTCTAGAGTTTATATTTAAAATTAAACATCCAGTACTACATAAAGACTACTTACCAAAATAGGAAAATAAATATTTACTCTTTGGTATTTGAAGTTAAATAAAATACTGCATGAATTTGGAAGGATATAAAACTAGATTAGAGTTAGAGCCTATAGTTATTTTTGTCTTATTTAACATTACATTATGCTAGTTAACAATGGGTTAATCTGAATTTTGTTTAAAAACATTTGTGGTATATTATTTTTGAGTTGTTTGTTGGTTTATTACACATAAACTACCTCATTGGCCATAATGAAATTGTCCAATTAGTTTCTTCATTAGAATCAGCTTATAATATTAATAAACTTAGATGTGCACAAAAATATAATCTAGTTTGGGTTCTTGGTTTGATTATAAAAACTGGAGGATTATTGGCTGTAGTTCAAATGAAAACAATTATACTATATGTATTTATTTACTTGTCTAGTGAATATTCAAAGTTTAAAGCAAAATAACAGTAAAGAGCATACTATTGTATCACTACAAAGATATCTAAGTATAAGAACATTATAAACTAAGCACATTAGTGGTCACTAAAACTTGAGCTAAATATTTCACTTTACTTTTATTCTTGCTTGCCTGATTTAGAACAGTGCTGTCAGGTAGATACACTAAGCATATCTCAAGGCCAATGTTGATTATCACTTACTTGTACATGTAATTAATGTAATTTTTGTTTCACAAAAAAGTTGCTACATTATTTTTAAATAAATTTATTTTGTCAGATATGTAGCTGTAATCTACTGAATTACAGATATGCAGCCCCAAAACTTATAATGTATTGGTTTAAATCTGGTTATTATAACAACTAATGGGAGCTGAAACAAAAATTATGACCACATGTCTCCTGAAACAAGTTTTATACCAGTTTCATAATTTATAGCCTTCAATTTTTAGATCAGAATCTAAAGGCTTTGTTCAAAAAAAAATTTTTTAATAGTTCTGTTATGGTGTAGGCAGTTTTATATTCTATTAAAGGTAAGTGACTTGGTCTCAATTTTTATGAAATTCTAGTCAGAAAAAAAATCAGTACAAAAAACAAATTTTGGAAATATCAACTAAGAGATTTTGTCAGTAAAATTGTCTTGATGAACTGTTTACCTTGGTTCAATATTGATCTAGGTTATACATTTAACATCGTGATGCCCATTCTTTGAATAATTTACTTGATAAAATAGATTTTTTTATATATTTTCTTTTAATTAACTTTGAACCAGGTAGTTATGTGAATCATTATTTTTTAAATAATCAACAGATTGATGGTTAGCTGTGTACATAGAGCTTGATAATAAGTAGCTTTTCTTAACGTCAATTTAATTCTAGAGCTATACAAAAATGCACAATGAACAGTTTTGATTTTTTTTTTCAAAAGCTTTTTTATATTAAAACGGCTTGCATTTTAAATTCTGACATTTGTTTTGTTTTTTTTGTAGACAATTTTAAAGTAGTTCAAATTCTTAGATAAATCAGATTTTAAGGAATATTTCTTGTAGTTAAAACTGCAATTAAAATTCATTTATGTACGTTTATGTTTTCTATTTATAAATAATTGGGTTGTTGTTTTTGTATATATACAAGCACTGACTAATAAATTATGCCAATTGAATGATTTGTTAAAAATTGTTTCATTAAGTTTCTGGAACATATTGTGGTGTAAAAATTGGAACTTAACATCAGGCAGAATAAACAAAGTAATTTTAATCAATGGATTATCTAAAGAACAAATACATAACACTTCCCCAGAACCAGACTGTTTTAACTCCAATTTCAAAAATGTTCACGACAAGGCTTTAAGGTTTTGTTTTCCTAATCAATTCTTTACTAAGCGCTTTGTGAAATGTGTAATAATATTGATATCTTTTCCTGTGCATACCCAAGACACATGGGGTAAATGAAATAGAGTTAATCTGTTTTAGAGACCTCGACATAATAAGGAATATTGTGGTCAGTACTATGCCCAGCCACCTTTACTTTCCCTAACGGGATTTAGGTACCTATCAAAGCTGGGTGGACATTCTACTGGCTTGAACTTGAGACTTTCGGGTTAGCAGTCTACCACTAAGCTACACAGTATTATGCTAAGATATGGCCATAAATTCTTTTGACATGATGCTTTGGTGAATTTAGAACATATTTATTAAAAAAAATAGAGTTAAAACATTCATGATTCTGGTTCTAAGGAAGCTCCAAGTGTGGTTGATCTTCCACTTAGGTATCTCATTTTCCACTCCCACGGAAGCTTTTAATTAGCAAGTACTCACAAATTAAAGTTATGAACAAGAACTATTGCATTATTTTTTAGAACAGGTTTAACTGGCCAATTTAATGACAAACTTCAGAAACAAGAACACATTGTCTAAATTTTTTTTTTAATGGAAATGCATCTGTTAATTTATGATTACTTGATATACATATGAAAGTTTTTATTTAGTATTCACATCACAGGAAGTAAATCCTTTAGCACAAAGTATGCATTTATGAATCACAATCAACAAAAGAAAATACATAAACTTAAAACAAGTAAAGATAAAGTTTTAACAAACAAACAAAAATTGTTTTTAAAAACTTCAACAATAATTCCGCATACTTTCTTTTAACCCTTTCCAGTAAAATGATCCTTAACTTGGATCAACTGTTTTATTCACATCGCTAGTCCCACTATGGGAAATGTATGTAATTATATACATATCAAATATACTTAAAATTAAAGAATGAGCATAATGATAACAAAAATTTTGTTACTAATATGTGTCACCTAGGCACAGAGAAAAATTAAAAAAAAATTGAACAAACTGAAATGCATATTGCTTCTTAGATTTAAGATCAAAGCATAGTCTCCATGTTTTGATCAATTATAACCATTTTACATGAACCAGACAATTTATTCAGAGAAAAAACAACAAAGTTTTGTACTTGAACTTTGGTTTACCAGCTATTATAATATTAACGGGAAAGCAAAAATTTAACACAAAGAAAATTTAAGTCTTTGAGTAAACCAAATATTTATTAGATGTCTATTGTAGCATAAATTCATGATGTTAACAATATTCAATTACAGAAGAGTTCCACTTCACTTCTCATGCTAGTAAGTCTTATGTTTCTTTTTAGAAAAAATCCTGCTTCATCAACATTGGAAATTCTTAATTAACTTAGGTAACAACAAACTTTAAGATGAATAACATTCCTTATTGGAAAATTTTCCCGACATAAAGAAAGTATAGGATCTTTGTCTGTTTAAATACACTATTTGTTACTTTTTTTTTATTATGGAATATCTTTTTTTAGAATTTTAATATAGTCAACCAAAGCAGATTTAAACCTGGCCATATTCAATATCCTGATTGTACTTTAATGAGTGCATTTAAAAGGGGTTGCCCAAAAATGACATCACAGGATAGTGGGAGTATTCTGACTTTTGTGGCAATGATCTAGAAAGGAGGGGGAAATGTTGGTTAAGAAACACTTCAACATTAAAAGGATCAAAACATTTAATTTTTTTTTAATATGTCAATAGGAAAAGGGGTGGGGTGCAGTTTCTGTTTTGTGTAAAAATTGAGTGGACAGGGGCAAAAAAAAACTGTTATATTAGTCTGATGTCATTTTTGGATGATTCCAAAACTAGATGTTAATTCATACATAAATGAGGTTAATGTATCCACAACTACCCATATAAAAATAAATATTTTAAGCCAGAATGAAACATTTTGTTTAAAAATTAGTGTCAAAGATTGCAAGTGATAAGCATTGTTAGATACTATGAATAACACTTTTCTTTATTCATACAACAATTAAAAAATGGGTAATGTTCAATTTCAAACTCAACACAAAATAACTACGTGTTGAATAATCTTTCAAACTAGTAACGAGCTTTCCCTTTTTCAAGTAAGACAAATCAGTTATGTTCAATCATACTTTGTATACACTGATTTATTGGTTCTAGAATACAGCAAACATTTTAATTACTAGTATAATGGGAAGAAAGGTCTGTTAATATACATAACCTACCTGTGCCAACAAATTGAAAGCTATAAGCTGAATCTATAAGCTGGCCAACAAATTCAGCAGAAGCTGCAAGGATCAGTGTTTTTGATAAATATCCTATGGCAAACGTGTTAAAAATGATACATTACATTTTTTAAGTTTATTTTTAAGTCAAATCTAAACAACATACAAAATGGGAGACAACCCATTCCATTTGTTCTTAATATAACCTTTTATACAACCAAAAAGCAAAATACTTTGAAACAAAATCTGTGAAGAAATTTCAATAAAACATCTGAAGAAAGCTTAACAGTGTTATGCTTATAATTTTCAAAGCAGAAAATTGGTTTTGTTCTGGTTTGCATTTTTATGCTATTATAATTTATAAAACTAGAATATTCTTTTTAAATAAAAAGATGTTTACTTAGATACATGTAGTGTTGTGTATTGTAGCTTTCAAATCAATCATAACTTTAGCTTTTACTTTCTTAGATACTAGTGAATAGTAAATTTTCAAAATTAAAATTATTCAATCCAAACTAATCAATATTGCACAAATTGTTTATCTATTGATTAGAAATGAAGTTCTAAACATTTTATTGCAATAGGTATTACAGCTATTTACATTCCTCATTTTATGTAAGATTACAATAACCTGTTTTTTTACTTGATTCAATAATCCTTTTGTTAGATATCAATGAAAATAAAATCTGCATGATTAAGGATATATCACAAATAATGAGTGAATAGAACAGACATTCTGTTCAACCCATTTCCACACAACTCTACACACCAAATTTACATCAGCATGGGAAATGGATTAAAATCCAACATTAAAGATATCTATAATATATCTAGCAAAGCCAATAACATTGTATGATGTATCTGTTTAAATAATAATAGATCTCCTTGCAAGAGAAAGAACAGGAAAATCTGGTGATTAAAGCAATATATTTTATATTTTAGTGACCAAATCTTATAAATGTTAAATTAATTATTTTTTTTAATAGTACATGTACTTAAGTTTTGAGTTACTTAAGTACTTCAACTGCTCAAAATTAGTGCGGCTAGACAAAGTTGTCAAATGAAAAAAAAAATATCTAGATGTACAATTTTTTTCTAAATTGGGAAACCAAATTAAAAATAAATGATACAAAAAAAGTAAATATATGTGTATGTAAATATATACAGAAAGAAAGTATTCTTTATTTTAAAACAATTTATTTCCGCCGAATAATTTTAAGAGTAGTTGACCACACTGGAATACATACCACTGTATACCACAGTATTCTCCACACTACACAGCTGTGCCCATATTTTCCTCACAAGAATTTCTGCTACTACAGCCACTAGTACTGCTAGTAGTTGGCACAATCAGTCCTGGATTACAGTTTTTAGTTAAAGACCAATGCACTTTGTTCAGTCCCCCAGCTTTGTCTGTTAAAGAGCTATCAAGGTTGAGGCCTGAACCAGCCAAAGGCACCTGAGTAGAGCTGGGACTACTCGCAGATGTATCACACTGAAAATCTATTGTTTTCATGTCTGAGATTTCCTTGTGAGGCTGGAGGTTTGACAGCTCCTTCTCACTGGGGAGTGTAATGCCTTCAGCGACATCACAGAGTTCAATATCAGCTCCACCAGCTGGTTTAGAGTTTTTAGTGCTAGTCTGTGAACTGGCAGGATGGGGGCTGCTCCCATCAAAAGGTGATGTTAGGTCTAAATTAGAAGATCTGAGAGGAGAATCAGCACTTTGAAAGACTGGAAAATCATTTGAACAAGTATTTGAAGAATTAAGGTCTGGCACTGCAGATGGGAAAACAAAAGGTGGCTGGTCAGCTTGACCTTCACAGAACTGTGCTTGGCAGTTCTCTTCATGTTTACATGTTAACGATGACAACGACTCACCATGGGTGTTTGTGTTATTTTCACCAGGTGAATTTTCTGATGATACGCTGGAGTTAGTTTGAGGAACGCTTTCAATGTTATCATCAGCATTACTTGAAGAAGTACCACCAGGCATGCTGGAGTAGTTATTGCCGCCATGATCTGGGTCAATGGAGGCTGCTGTTGGGTTGTCTCTGGCCATGTCCTGGTTAGCTGACTGGTGCATTCTGTTGTTTCTAAAACGACGAAAGAGCCTGTAGATGTTGCTCTGTGTGTACACCGTCACTCGCTCAATCTCAAAGTTGTTTCTTACATCCTGCTGCCTGTTGCCATTAGCTTCTTCCACAGGCTGGGCTTCACCATTGGCAGTGGTATCAGGATTTAGGTAGTTCTGTAGAAAGCGAGATTGTCGGAGGAAATTAAACAGATCCGTCAGACCAGCTGCACCATCTCTGGGGTTCAAGTGAATGTTGTCTAATCGCAATACCTCTCTAGGCAATGGTCCTCTCTCCGAAGGATTATTATTATTAGTGTGATTATCAGTAGCATTATTTCCTTCAGCCACTGGCTCACTGTTAAGGCTGGTAGAGTTATCAGTGGCAGCATCACCAACTTCAGTGTCTGCCCTAGGATCCACTGGTGTTCCCTCATCTTCAGGGTTGTTGTTCTGCTGAGGTTGGTCTTCACCATCAGTACCTGGTTGTGCTGGATTAGCAAGTAGTTCTTGAATGCGAACTTGCTGTAGGATTGCAGGTAACTCGTAATGATGGAAGAAATAAATCATCGAATGCTGAAAATTGAAAATATTAGCTGATAGATATTTTCATTACTGTAACATTTTTAGAGTGTATAGATAAGTCATGTTAGGAGACAGAGCACACATGTTAACCCAAAAGACAATGATCTCATGCATAATACCATAAGCCATCCCCCTTGCCAATATCTGAAGCAAGCAGTGTGATGCAACACGGAAGGCAGTAAAACTCTTGTAAACTAACAGGCCTAACAACAAGAGGGAAACACTTGGTTCGACATGTTGCAGTCAGGTTTAACCAGTTTTGCCAAGATTAAAGAAAAAATGTAACGTATCCAATGTCTTGATGTTACGTATATGCTTTTAATTACATAGCTTTGTCTTGTGAAAAGACAAGTATGAGTAATACTTCTAAACAGTTAACATCATAAGACTGACTTACTTGTATAAACAGCCAAGAGGTAAAGAGTGCCAGAGAGCTGTACTGCCCATTGAATCGATAGTGATAAGCATAAAAGGCAAAATGGTATAAATAGAAGAACCTGAAATAAATTTAGTAGAACATTTTATTATTCAAAAGTATATAAATACAATAGCCTCAATTGTATATTTCAAAGAATGTTCTTTAACAGACTTTGAAGCTAATGCAATTTATAAAGTTACAACCTAGACGTAAATTATATATAAGATTCTCTGAGGTACCAGCAAAAAACAGCAATCACTTTTTTGAAAATATGTAAGTTTATAAGAAGAGCTAAATTCTACAGCAACTTTTCCTGTTCAAGTCCAAGACATACAGGCAGATGAAGAAGAGTTTGTTTCAATGACTTTGGCATAGTTGAGAGGGATAGTGTAGTGAAAGTAGATTTTTAAATTTCATTTAACAAAGAGACTGGTTACAAAAATTAACATCCTTTATATTTTTTGCTAACATCAATTTTACATGGGTTTCATACCTTAGCCAAATTCTTTTGCTGATGTTTGTGTGACAGCAAATAGCGTCATACTGATCAGCGATCCACACAATAAGAATGATATAAAATGCTGTGGTTGTGTCATTGAAAAACTCAGACATAATGGCTTCCATGCCTGATGAAAGTATAAAAATCTCTGAGTCAACAAGTTTTATAATATCTAATAATAATAAAACTCACAAGACATATTATGAAGTAATATTTTAGAAATATGCAAGATAAATATACTGCAGGTATTGCAACAAGCAATTCTAATAAATGAAAAAGGATTAAAGATTCACAATGAATGAAGGGATTTTATTGAAAATTGGTTAATTGTGCAAAAATACACAATGCTTACTATACTAACAAAAATTAAAACTATGCACAACACATTGAGCTCATGCAGTGTGGTTATTATCAACTCACCAACAAGTGCTAATATGACAGTTAAAAGTGGGGCTGCAGGAAATGCTATGGCTATGTTCATATCAAACATCTGCAGCAAATCCACTGAGGAAAATCAATGCAAAGTAGAGTAGAACAATTGATAAACAATACACAAAACTGTACACATTTTATTGCATTCTCTGAATTCTAAGTTTTAGGAAACTATTTGTTCAACATGATACAGCAGAAAATTTAAAATTTGTTTTAACTTGTTTGTGACCACTCATTACATTTATTCCTTTTTTTGTTTTAAAGGATTGCAAAAATAAAAGAAATGTGAAAACATGCAGTTACTTACTAATGAAAACAAAAATTTGGTGATGTGAGTATCTCAAGAGTGTTGAAACTGATACAGTCTGAGGAAAAAAAAAGCAGTTATCATTTTTAAGTTGGTTACATGCAATAACAAGAGGAAAAGATTTTGCAGTAAATCGTACTTTAATTTTTTAAAGGATGAAGGGAGATGTCCTGGCCATACTCTCTTTTAGGACTGTAAACCAAACAAATATTAGTAATGGAAAGATGCATCTGATTTATTAATTTTCTAAATTATAAATTAAACTAAAATTTAATTTTTTGTCTGCTAAAGAGTAAGTGTACTAACAAAAATAAGCATGATGAAAGCAGCAGCCAGATATGATGTCCGAGCCATCCACATACTTATGAACCGAAAATGCTCTCCCGTTACAACATTCCGGAGATAGCCTAGTAAATAAAGCAAAATATAAATTTAAATAGTTTAAAAGAAGGGGCATACACTGTTTTTATTTCCTATTTTACTGAATGGCACCCTAATTTTTTATTTTTTTTTAAAAAGGCTTAATTGTTTACAATTAATGTTGCCCTAAATAAATGACATCTAATTTTTGTAGATTTTTATACACACCATCACAAAAATCAAGACTGCCTTAAAATGGTATCACAATCAGGTCTATCCCTATCCCCAAATTGCATTTTTGGTTTTTTTTTAATTGATATATTAACTGACCTGGTATATTGATCTATTTTTAGTTTATTTCCAAATGATCAAAACATGCTAAATATCTTTATTCTTTACTTTAAAAAATAAGCTTTTAAAATACAATTACATGACATTACTTTCTGAACACACCCTCTTCCTCCATCCCACCCCACAAATTATTCAGAAATCATCACTGAAGTCTGTACCCTTCCCTTAAAGTGTGACAGCATTTATGGAAAATCCCTTGTAGCTAAATATATATATAAAAATATACAGTTCTAATACTTTTTTTGGGTGCAAATTATGAATTTTTAAATTTGTTAGTAATTTGAATAAAAACCTTTTTAAAGTGGGGCTTTATTTGAATAAAAACCTTTTTAAAGTACCTTTGTTATTTTCCTTTTCAGCCAGTTTCTTTATGCTAGACATAAGAATATCATCATATCCAAGAAATTCATCAAGCAAAAACCGACTGAAGCCATCACCAAAGCATGTCTCCTTTTCAGGATCTGCAAACATTAATTTTGTTGGGTTAAGAGAAAATTTAAGATAATTGTACAACTTCCTTGTTTTTAACATGATAACTAAAACTGAGACTGCAGTCATTTTAGATTGCTTTTATAACATTTGATAAACAACAGATAATTATATAGTGTTTTAAAGATATATTTTACCTACCTAAAGTGACCAACATTACTGTAATGTTCAGTTTTTTTCGTGTCTTTGGCAAAAGCCTCAGTAAACCATACTCCAAGGAGTATTCAACAATATATTTCTCTTCTGGCCACACTGCAAATGCAAGATTTAATTAAGTCAATGTAAAGTGAGAACACCTTTTGCACTTGTACAAGTGACTGAAAAAAACATTGTAAAAATCTGAGGATACATAACTTTTAAAACAATTTTTGGCTAATCTAATGTTGTGAATTTCAAAAGCCTTAGCCAATAAAATGTAATAAAAATGCTCTTCAAAAATGGATGCTAGAGTTTTTAGTATGAATTAGATTGATGATTCTATTTTGAGAGTCAGGTCTGATTTTTATTCATAAAACAAATGAACAACATTACCAGCTCTTGCCAGCATTTCAAATTCAGTCAAGCCCTCAGCTATCTGTGCTTCTAATTCTATGGGAAGAATGTTAACCATGCTCAGGTTTTTTTGTGTTTTATTCAGCTGGTCTGGGTTCTCGCTATCCCCTGGAATTTCATCATCATCAAGAGACCAAAATTTTAGGCTGTAGAAAAATTGGTGTCGTTATTTTTTTCACATGGGAGGTCAATTTTACAGTACTCAACAGGGCTGTATAGACAAGCTTTAAAAAAAAACAAGATGGAAGGTTTATGGTTTAAAAAAGAGTTAAATAACCTACCTAAATAAACTACTCCAAGAAATTGGCTTTATTTCTTCAACTACAACTTCTTCTGTTGGGTCATTAGTTTCACTAGAATGGCTCTCTGTTTCATCACTGTTACTTATATCAACAACAACAGATAAGGGTTTTTCTCCATTTTCTGCTTCTAAAACATCCTGTTTCATAACTTCATTTGATTCTTTGACATCAGTTTTGATTTCAGGATTATCAACAGATTCATCTATCACTTTGTAAAGTGTTTCATAATTACTGTCCTTATCAGTTATGGCTGTACTTTCATGGATTTCTGTGGTATTGTGAATTCCTGAATTATTCAACAACTCTGCTGGCTCAAAACTTCTTGCATCTGAAGTATTCTTACTATTATCATCAACATCATCATCATATTCTCCCTCCGAATTTGAGTCTTCCAAGCCTAGCTCTTCAGCAAAAGAAGACTGTAAAAATAACTGGATATCAGAATATTCTTTTTTGTATGAGTGAATAATAGTATAGTTTTCAGGAGCATTACGAACAATCTCAACTCTAAGAATTCCATCCCTGGGCCAAATGTCCTGGACATGCTCCAAACAGTTCATGGGGGCTTTTGCAAATACTGCATGGATGTATACTAAAATGCCCAAGACAAATAATGCCTGAAAAAAATAATATCTGTTAGCATTTTATTCAATTTCAATGTGGAGTAGTAATCACATTTTAAGGAATAATTAGAATTGTTAGCAATTTATGATAATGATAATAATTACAAAATATAAAAATGATGGACTAGAAAAGGAGCTTATTTTCTTCATTTAATAATTTTTTAAATGTTTAAATGGAATTAAGTAAACTCCTAATTCTCAAATAAATAAATACAAAGTTAATGTTACTTAAGTTACTAGATCTATAAGTTGTTTAATAAAATTTTAAAAACTTTAAATCTCACCTTCAGAAGCAATGCAAATTCCAACACTCTGCGAATAGGCCTTGGAAAAGCACGGGCATATGTGATAGAGATGCGATAAAATAAAGCATGAAATAGGCGGTTCTGGAAGTGGAAAAATGGATTATTCTCCCCACCTCTACCTCCAGGATTGTTGTTGCGAGTTCTGGCGCCACCTAAACCTCCATTGTTGTTACCTGGATTATTGTTCATGGTCAGTTTACTTATGGCATCAGCCTGTGTGAGATAAACATAAATACATGTCAAGTTTATACATGAAAGGAAGCTTAGTCATAAAAAAAAGTTTGGTGACAAAAGTTTCAATGTCTAATTCTAGTTGAGTAGGCCTTAATGTATCTTAATAAGTATTTAGTAATTAGTAGTATGACAGTAGTAAGTAGTAAGTAGTAGTAGTAGTAAGAAAATTAAAAAAAACTGCTGGTGTTTGTTATATACCTGTGTCAGATCATGGCAGAATAATAAAATCTTTTAAAAAGGGGTGTTAGGTTCACTAGTAGTTAAAACAATAGATATATTACAATACATCAGTATTACTAACTAACACTTTCACTACTTTCTACTTCTAATCTAAAAGTAAAAGAGATATGATAGTTAGATCTAGAATTAGATCTAGATAGATCTAGATCTAGATTGCTATGTTACGTGAAAGAGTTATCCGATTTTGATGGTTTCAAAACTTACCTCGACGCGCAGTACAGATGTTATAAACACTCGCAACAAAGGTTTTGTTTGGGACAAACGAAATTTACAAAGTGGTCTCTACGTAACAATTTCAATCTGCCGACATCTTGGAATCCTTGGAAATATACTCAAACCCAAAATCTTATTGAAATAATTAAATTCGCGATACGAAATTAACGTTCGCATTGCATGTTTCTTTTTTGAAATCTCTTAATTTCGCAATGACTAAAGCATTTGTGATAATATCATCGGTTAATTTCTAAATGGAAGTCAATATTAACACAGCGATGTAGGGGAGGGGAAAGATGGTCAACTATGGATTATCAGGGGCGGCTACTATGAAAGAAAGATAAATTGTTTATTTCCGATTTAGAACAAAATTATTTAAGCTTGTGATACTTTGGCTCGTTAGATCTTAATAATTTAATAAATGATATAAACTTCTAGATTCTAGGTCTTGATTAGATCTAGTTAATTAGTACTGAATTTTCGCAATGGATAATTCACATAAACATTCTAATTTGGAAAATGAAAAGAACTCAGTGCATTCACATGCTGCCTCAAATCCAAAACATGTCAGCATTTCTTCACCAAACGAATTTGAATTGTTAGAATTGTGCCAAAAGGATGTTCGGGAGAGAGTAAACTTACTAGATCTAGATTTACCACAAACTTCTACTATGACATTAGTGCAAACACCTCTAGCAGCGATGCCCGCAGTCACAATACCCAATGTAATCAGCATTAATAATAATGGCAGTACTGTGAGTACTGGTCTCACCTCAACTACAAATTTGAATAGATCTTGTTCCACATCTAGATCTAGAACTGCAGATTGTGCTCAACTTTTAGAAAGTAATGATATTTCTCTTCTTGTGAATTTAGAAATGGATGGTGCAATCCAGAACAATACGCATAGTAGCCTTAATACTAATACTAATAGTAACAAGGGCAAAGGAAATTTCCCGTCTGATTCTGAACAAAAGCATAGGCTCTTTCAAGACCCGAAAATCCTGCTTCAAACAAACACTTATTCAAGCTCAAGTGAAATTAGTTCAGAAAATTGCATAAATCCACCAAGAGTCAACTGCCCAGAAAAAATTGTATGAACTGAGTTATATTTTGTATTATTTATCTATTAGGCCAATTAATTATTAGTTTATTAGTATTGGGTACTTTGTTCATATTAGAGAATATAAAGGCAACAGGGCATAGTGCACACCTTCACAGAAACAGGTGAACTCTACATCTACCCCATGGACACCCTGGTTCTGAATGCGTAACCACTAATTAATAATGACACATTTTCACTTAGAAGTTGTTTGAAATACTTAACTAGCTAGAAGAACTCAAATCCTGTATACCTTTAACACATGCAAAGTTTCAGGATTTTTTAGAGTCAGCAATTGAGTTTCAAATTATGCTATATACAATAGCACTGCTTTAGGACTTACTCTCCTGTCACTAGGCCCCCCCCCCCCCACACACACACACACACAGAAACTATAGAACACTAACCAACAATCAGCGGCATGATATGCCGTGCTTACTGTTACCACGCATCTGCACTCATCTGAAAATTTAGATCATGACAAATGTTTTCACACTGGAGCGAAAAAAAACATTCAGTCCAGAGCACTAAGAGAGGTGTGGTTTTGTGCCAAGCGACTCAGATGCCCCATAAACCCAAAATGTATATAAGTAGGTCAAGTCCTTCATACATAAGTGTATCCATAACCTGCATACATTGTAAGTCAAGTTGTTAATACATCTTCTTAATGCTGATATTAAAAGGTATTAACATTAAGGCTCGACTTTTATATCTGTATGAGTTCAGTGCCATCCAACATCATACTTCTTCACAAAAGGCCAATTAGTAACACATCTGAAAAATGTCTGGAAGATACTTAAGACATGAACCAATCAAAATGGCCAATTTGTTTTGGTTTTTTAAGGGTTAATAATTTATTAATGTGGTAGTTTTTCCCAAAGCAAGTTAGGCTTTTTTTATTTTTTTTAAAAACAATCTTCATTTTTAGGTAATTTGTCTTGACTTGAATGAAGAAATGAACACAACAACATTTAGGTCAAGAGCAGGGTAATTTTTCATTTTTTAATTCATATTTTAAGAAATATTTTGTTTTAATTTGCTTTTTAAAAGTCAGAATATAGGTCTATAGACTCTATTTTTAAATAAATTAATTTGCTGTATCATAAATTTTATCAAAAACATTACATGTAATGATATTATCTTTATTTAAAATATATTCAGAAGTGACATAACTTAGAATTGACATTATCCTTAGGGATAAATACACAGGGCTTGAGCTTGCTAAACGTGCCATCAAGATGTTTGTTATGCACAAGACACAGATGAATCCAAAGCATGAGTTTGCGTTTCTAATATTTCATCAAGACTCAACTATGGTACATTTAAAATCATTTGTAACTTTAGAATGCATGTTAATAAATGTTTCAAATATGCATAATCTTAACCAATATAAAACATATTAGCCTACATTATTTAGATTTCCAATAATCTAAAATTTTAATTATTAATATCTTAAAATTTGTATTAATAGAATTTTCAAATCATTTTAAAATTTTGTAGTTTTTTTTTTATTCAATTATAATGTTTAGATACAGTCATTTACACCCAGAGCGGAAGATATCCTCAATACTTTGGATGAGAGCGTCATAGAAACACAGAAATCTGGACCCTTGGATCTGTCACAGTTATTTTCGACAATGTAAATATTTTATAATTATTATTATTAATACCAAACATTCTTTTTAATGTAATAAATTGGTAATTAAAATTGATTTTAGATAAAGCCTTATGGAGAAAATATTGCGAGCATAATAAATTAGAATCTTGATTTTAAATTTTCAGTAAGGAAAATGTAACACTACCAGTGGTTGAAGGAGATCCTCAAGCAATAACCCCACCATTCACTGTCCGGGTCTTACTTGTTTTTGGAAGATCTCACACTGTTCCTGTAGTCTCTTCCACTGAGGTAATATTATTTCTCTTTTCATTTGTTTCAGTGATGAGCATTTCAGCTGAATATTACCAATATTCCAAACAATATTATTATTTCTTGTTTTGTTTTTTTTATTAAATGTTAACAAAATTTTGAAAGCAGGCATGTTTAACACTAGAATAAAATATGCATTTAATTCATTGTTTTTCAGGAATGTATTGTGTTCAGCTGAGTTGCCTTTAAGTCTGAAATGTATGTGGATAGACACTGTCTTAGCCACCAAAACTAATTTTGAAAGTCACAAATAACATCTTTGGTAGGGCATAAGAATGTTTTACATCAACTCAGGTTCCTTACTTAGATGCCATGTATGCTCAAAACTCAAGACAAGCAGGAGCCTTTTATCCAGTCTATTTCAGGAATCTTTCACAGGGAGAGGGAATTCTCCCCTACCTAAGCATATCCAACCCTTCTTCCTCAGGAGAAAAATGTCTAAAAGAAACTTTTTATCCCCATTTTATGTTGTTTTTTTTATCCAGGCTCAAAAAGAATTAGAATCTTCACCATATTTCTTTACTGATGTGCTGTATATACATGAGCCTCCTACAGAAGAAAACAAATGTGAAGTAGGTTAACTTATGTTTGTTTTATTTTCATTATCTTTTTTTTTTTGAGGATTATCTCATAAACCTGTCCCAACTTCTTTGTGCTAAAGATGTTTTAAATCATTACCTTTTTAGAGTTTGGCTTAAAATTCATAGAATTCATAAGCTGCTATCAATTCATGGAGGTGGGGGAACAAGTATTCTTTTTTAAAAAAAACACAAAGAAAAAAAATCAGATTTAAAGCTTTTTTATAATTTGTAACAAGAGAATGATTTTATTTGAAGTTTTTTTTTTGTTTATCTGATCTAGTCTAATTTTTTATTGTGAATTTTTTAACATTTTAATCTTTTGATTGCAGGAAATCTTCCACAAATTATGTGAACTTGACCACCGTGGCCTATCATACATCTTTGAGCAATCCAAGTATACACCTATTTTAAACAGCGGCGCCAAACTATTGGCTCACCCATTACAAAGGCCACGACAGCTTGATGCCATGTACAAGATTGGATTACCTGTTTCTGCTATTCAAATACCAACACCACATGCTTTAGTAGAGGATAAGATATAAAAGTATTATTTTATATTTTAATCTACATATGAAGGGGAAAAAATATTAGCATCATACTCATGGTATAGAAGATAAAGGCCAGTGGTTTTATTGAAACAGTTTTTTTTTTATTACAATCATTAGGTTCTATCTTAAACTTCATAAGTTAAAAACTTCATTGATCAATATCATTTTAAGGTTTCTTTTTCTATTCTAAGCTTAAGTCATTTCTAACATGTTATTGTTACAGCAAGGTGCTTGAAAAGGTAGTTGTGCAATATATTTTGAGTATTCTATCTATCAGCAAAGTTAATGCTATTTCAACTATTCATATGTGACTAAAATAAAAGTTTGAATAAGGTGTAAAGAGATTTTATTTTATTAATCGCCTGTAGTTTAGAAGTTTGTGGACAAATGGTGTATCTGCATTTTGTTTAGACGCTGAAAGAATGCAGTGACCACTGATCATGTAGGCCTACTGCTCGTCTTTCACTATTTTACTGGCTATTTATAATTAAATAAAAATGTATTTCCTTATTTCTGTTCAAAAGGTTATTTTTATGAAATAGTGACCATTTAAAATGCCTTGTTTAAGTTGTGATTAACCAGTTTTGTTTCATTTTATTCATATTTTGGAGGATCAAATTGAACCGTATTCATATTTCCTACTTAAGTGATAATGTAAAATAATAATAAACTATTATAAATAATTGCTACTAATTTTGTGTTTTGTTATATTATTTAATTAATAAGTTTATCTTTTTTTTTTAAATTTAAATCTTATTGGTTGCACTTTGAAAAATATGCCAAGTAAAACTTATAATTGGATTTTAGCAGATATATTTATTTTAATTTTGAATAATTTTTTTGTTATGTTATCACAAAACAGATATTGACACTAAACAATTTAAGGAATAAACTATAAACATTTATTGATTGAACAATAAAAAATACACCCACAGAGACAAAACAATATAAAATGATTGTATATTTGTGACCAGTTCTTTCTATCTTAGGATTTGTTGATAAGTGAAAATAAAAGCATCTTCAATTTTATTTTTAATAATGTTATTACCAGACACACCATAAAAAAATATAGTATATTAAAGCATGCTGTAAAAATATTTCAGAACAATTGCTAATATCTGACACAAAAGAAAAAAAATTATTTTTAAATAATAATTGTTATATTTACTACTAATAATTAATAATATTGATCTCCATTTAACATTTTATTCAGTTTAAAAACAGGTAAAAAAAAATATGACACATAAGAGGAAATAGCTTTAACATAATGTAAGTCAACTGTCAAATAATAATTGAAGGAATAAAACTTATATTTGAGAATATTTGCAGTATGTTTTAAAAAGTCAGATCTAACATATATCATTTCATGAACACATAATTTAAATGTTTAAATTTATTGTGTAAATTTCTACAGTTAAAATTTAGTTTAATTACTTGATTGTTGTTTGACATTAGGAACTAAAATACACTAATTACAGATACAAATTTAAATGGTTGTGTATGGCAAAAATCAATGCCTAATCATAATGAGGAAAAGTTTTTAAATTACTAAGATGAGCATAATCAATTTTCAAATTGTTATTGGAGTAATATATCAATTTTGTTGTTAATCATTTAAAATATACGTGCACACACATATATATGTATTTTATATATATATATATATATATATATATATATATATATATATATATATATATATATATATATATATATATATATATCAGTTGTGAAGTATTTTAAATCATTAACTGAACAAAAAATGTATGTGTATATGTCATATAATGCACATTAGCTTTTAAGATAAAAGGCAGAATTTTAATCCTCAATATTTAACAATCATAATTCCAGAATAAAGCTAGATAAGGGTGCATATTTGGTGCATTAAAATAAAATAAACAATTATAAAACTGTTTTTTTATCATTAAAATATAACATTTTACTAAGCTGTTTATTTTTTTCTTTTATAGAGTACAGAAATAAAAAATAATTAAAGAACAATGTTTCCTAAAATTTAAAACTCGTGATCTCTGAAAGATAAACACAAAATTGTCAAAACAAGCATGTTTTTAAAAATGTCAGTTTTGAAGCCTAAGTTATGTAATGATAAAAAAAAATTCAAGAATTGTTTTTAAACTAACTTTTTGTTGTATAATAGTTGGTATTTTCTATATATTACTATTACCAAAATAATAATGTTTAGGAACACATAACATATACTGTTATTGTTACTCTAGTAGTTTTTTTTATTAACAAATAAATGAAAACTATGATCTAGCACTATACAACAATAGGATAAAAGTTAGTATAATTACAAACAGTTGAAAAACAAATTAATAAAAGTTAAGAACACAATACACTTATAATATATGATACAATTTCTAGATACAAAATGTCCTAGGGTATCTTTTTCAATAAATAATTACAACTTTTATACACTTAAATATCAACAATGTTAGCACGCATATATAGTAAATGAACAAAGCCAGTGCTTCTTTAAATGTTTACATTTGTAATTAAACTATATACAAATATCTTTAAAAAATTTTGTAATTATGGTTTATGCTTTCTTAATTTACATAAAGAGATTGTTCAATTTAGAGTATAATGAAATTGCTGCAATTTTATTTTAGTAAACACTGCTGCACAAGCTAATCCTGCCTAAAGCCATTTTTTTTTTATAAACCAAGATTCAAATTAAAAGTAGACCTCTGTTAAGAAAAATACAGACATCTTTACAAACATTTATGAAACATCCAATACAATTAAAAACCAGATTAGTTTATTTATTTCAAATAGCTTAAAATTTTTTTTAACAAAACAAATAATTTTTTGTCATTAGGTCTTACATGAAACTATTTGTTGTGTTAAATTTCTTAAACTTTTGTTCAATGCTTCAACATAATCAAGACAACCTGAACCTCAATGCACGAGTTTTTTTCTATTATAATTCAATAACATTTTTTACAACAAAATTGTCCATCAAAAGATATACAGCACTCAGATTACTCTAGTTTTTATCACCACATGCTGTACTCAATATCTTCATTGCCAAAAATTTTGAAGTATGCAAAGATTGTTAGGAATACAACAACATTTCCAGACACCACTAAAGCACAGGCTCCCAGTTTAATCTGGAAGAAAATATAATGGATAAGAAAATAAATAACATATAAAAATAATAATAAAGCAAATCAAATATGTACAGAAAATGTTGATAGCTTGTGTTTAGTTGTGTTTTAGGCATATTTCTTGTATTGAAAATATGTAGATCATATTCAATTGATTAAAATTATAACTAATTTAAATTTTGATTAAGGTCTGGGAATATATAAACTATACAAATATAGTATGGGAAGGCAGAGTCAGAGGGTAGAGTGCTCCACTGTTAACCCAAAAGTTTGGATCCCAGGCTCAATAATATCAGCTGTCCTTGAGTCCACCCAGTTCTGATGGGTACAGGGAACATGAAGGCAGTTAGGCATAGTGCTTACCACATTATCACTTCATATGCCAAGGTCACAGAAACCGACAAACTCTACTTCATCTGCCCTATGGTTCACCAAGTCCAAAAGAATATCTTTTTACTTTAAATACAAGTAATGCAGGCATCCCAAGTAATCAAAGTTTTAAAAGGATATATGAAATGTGAACTTACCACTTCAGCACGAGCCAAGATGACAGGAAGACCAATGGCTGACACAACAATGCCTGTGGTAAAAAATATTGACAACTCAATGCATGCACTGCTTGATGAATCATAGCCGCTGGACAACCTGCGAGCTACTAATGTTGGTAATGGAGACAAGAAGTAGAAAACCAACACAAACATGGGCCACCATGATCTGGAAAAAAAATGTGAATCATGATTAAATGAAATAACAATTAACTTACGTTTATCATATTTTTCAGAAGATATAATATGAAGAATTTTTTTAAAGAACACTTACTCATACAAAGCACATCCTAAGACTAGAAATGTAACGCCAAGTGCACAAGCGAAAGCAAGGCCAATTAACCTAAGGAAAAAATACAATAAAATATATTAATATATGGGAAGAAATAGTTTTTCAAGAGGTGTGTTTTTAATGGGATATCTATAACAAAATGATTTATGCTGAAAAAATATTTGTTAATATGTCTTGAGCATCATTTATGAATGAAGTCACACTCAGATTTTTGTGATGATTTGTGAAGATGGGGGTTGGATTTAAAAAGCAATTTTCAAAGTTGAATTTCTGCAACTATTTTGCTTTTTTAAAGGTTTTCTTACTAAAAATTTAATAAAAATTGACCAATATTATGTTGTCAGGGCTCAGTTAAAAACCTGTTTAAAAAAGTAACTGTATTTAGGGTGTGGGGAAAAAAATCATTTTCAAAGGGTCGATTCTAAATATCATCCCCATTAGAAAATAATGAAAAATAGTAAATGCTTATATGCGTTATAGGAACCAAACTAAAAAATAATATTTTTAGGAATAGCACTTACGCTTTGTGACAAAGTTTGCAGCATCACATCAAAAAGAGCATGAAAAAAAGGAGGTAAACATTTTATATAAAACTAAAAAATAGTAAAAAGGTTATCAAGTTTAGACAAATCATAATTTCAATTAAGAATCATCTAGGCCTCTAGGCTGGCTCTAGGCCCTACTTAAAATTTAACTTAAAATGTCATTTGTTCAGTCCGCTCAAAAAAGGTTAAGATTAGAACCACTTATCTAGATTCAAGATCAGGAATCTAGATCTCTAGATTAGATCTAGATCTAGATTAGAATCCAGCAAATTAGAATGGTCAATGAGTAAAATTGAGTAGTCAATACTCATTACTCAATGAGTCAATGACCAATGACCAACCAATGGCGCTCATCCAGAATCCAGAAACTACCCTCAGTTACAGTCAGTAGACTAACAGTAGTAGATCTAGATCTAGATCAATAATCTAGACGTATCTAGCGTACTACTGATCTAGATCTAGATTCCAGATCTAGATCTAGTTCACTAGTCAGTCAGTGAGTTGAGTGAGTACTACTACTACTGCACCCGGTAGTGCACAGTCACCGCAGTCACCCTGATTAGTCGCATTTTAGTGCGACTTGAGACTAGATCTATCCAGATTAATCTCTATTTCATTGGTCCTAGAATACTTTGAATGGACTAGTTTAACATTTTAGAGTGGCTAATAAAATCAGATAAAGCTATAGGATTAAACTTAATTGTTATTATAGATCTAGTATATACCCAATTTTACATACCTCTGATGCCAGCCATTTTGTCAACAAAGGATAACAACTCTTTTTTATTGTAGACACAATCCTAGAAAGTTATCGAACTTAATGGAAATTTTTCGCTAACTGTTATTTTGGACTTTAAAATAATTAAAATATCTATTTCTTTAAAAATTGTAATGAAGATATACAATTGGTGGTTCATTTTGCAAACGCCATTATATTTGCTTTCGGCAATAATGAAAGTTATTTATATGTATTTTTTAAATTCCTTTTTACAGTTTAGAAAAAATATCTGAAGGAACCCTTGCTGCAATTTATGCCTTAGTCTAAGTTAAATATATTATTAATTATGATCTAAGTAAACAAGAAAATAAAACAAACTTGCTTTCTTTAATAAAGGTACTGGCTGCTAAAATATGAAGATATCATGAGCGACCAAAGCTTTTATTAAAGAAAGCAAGTTTGTTTTATTTTCTTATTTTCATAGCATTTCAAAGATCATTATTATAAATATTTTTATACTTGTTTTATTATATCAGAGTCAGAGGCTTAAAACTGATCAATGTAATAATATTATAGCCTATATTTAAAAAATGAAAGTATGTATGTCTGTTTCTATCTGTTGTGCATTAGTACACCATACTTCCGAGTCCCATTAAACTCTGTAAGGTTGTTGAGTACACTCTAGCTTCTGCTTTAAAATAAATTTAATATCAGCCCCAAAATCCCCCCCACCCCCTTCCTCACACTGGTAACAATTTGTGGGGGGTGGACTAAATTCCATTTCGTTCGGGGGGGGTTGGGTGGTAGACTTTCTTCGTGATGGGCGGGGTAGAGAGATGCCTGGGCCTGGAAGAAACTCGCTGGCCCTTATATTTTTATAAAGCCCAATATCTTTCGATATTGAAAGGCATTTAAGGGATGTAACCAAGCTTAGGTGACTTAGCGAAAGTATTAATTGAGTTATTGTCCTTTGACTGTTAAGTAAAGATTTTGTTTCCATGTACTGGCGGCGCTCCGGCGGTAGTGTAAAGTGGGCGCACTTATTTTCGAAGTCACTTCCAAAGAACGTGGGATGGGCAGATTGAGCGTCCTTCACAGGAAGTCAGGGGTAGTACATGAATTTGCGGTCAAACTGCAACTGGGTCGTTTTTATGAACCGAAGCGCCCTGGCACTATGACGCCTACGCAGGGTTTCTTCCAGGCATCTCGAAAACTTTTTACCGCTCCCCCCCCCCCCACCCCCCCCCCCCCCCGAACGAAATGAAATTTATATAATTTATATAGAAAATATATACTTTTAACAGTGTTCCCCCCCCCCCCCGAAGAAAGTCTACCGCCCCACCCCCCCCCCCCCCCGAAAATTTCAAGTGCCCCCCCCCCCCCCCAGAGAAAAAAGTCTGGAAGAAACACTGCGCCTACGTTTGTGGGCTAAGTAGAATTGATGATTAAACCGAAGCAGGGCGGCGCCCGAAGCCCCTGAGCTTGAGGCTCTCAGTAGCACCCCGGGACACGAATGACACTGGGGCGATTAATGAGGGGTGTTCTATCTCACCCTTGCGGAGGGTGATCAGTGTGGTTTTTACACTATTTTTGTGGGAGCGCGCTACCTTTAGTGCTAATTTCATATATAAATAAGACTTTATAACTGGATCACTTTTTTTTTATTTTTGAGTGACCTCCGATAAACGGAAGTAGTATTTTACTATATTTCTGGTTTCTATAATACCTATAATTGAATTGCCGTTTTAGTTATAGAGACCAATTTTTATACATAGGTCTAAGAGCTTATTATCTTGATTATGTCATATTTTAAATGATTTCCGGTGACCGGAAGTAATAATTTACGCTATTTCCTATTTCTCAAAAAAGATAAGCAATGTGTCCTTTATAAAGTACTAATTTTCGACTATATTTACACACGGTGATTGCGTTCAATAGGTGCGCAATTCTTTTTTTTTTTACTCGGTTCTATTCTAATTTTAGAATGTAGATCTAAGTATTTTTAAAAAATAATTTCAAAATCATGTGTAAAATGTCAAGATCTCGAATTTCGATTTTTTTTTGCATGATTACAATACTTCCTCTATACTTCCTATTCAAAGAAAAACAAAACAAAAACACTTTTAAAATTGGGTTTTTTTTTAATCTTAAAAGTTATTTCGTAGACGCTTTTCAATCCGTGTTTTTTGTGACTTATTACGACTTTTCACGGACAGCTCCGAACAGCAACCATTTTGAACGGAACAATTTGTAAAGTAACAGCCATCAACCTCGAACCAGTAATTTTGCTATTTATTTAAGTTACATCAAACATGGCTACCGCAGAGGCTAAAGCGTAAGTTATTTTGATTCTAATTTATGTCTTAGTCATAAATGCGTTTCTTCTGATACTAATGTTGAGAAATTAATGTAATATTTCTAATCTAGAAACCGGCAAGTTATAGCAAGAACTGCGTGAAAACTTCAATTTTGTATTGTCATATTATAACTACGTACGCCAATGCTAAAAATAGATTTTTTTCCAATTTCAATTCTGAAAGTCAGTGCTGTACAAGGGCTAAAAGTTTTTTGGGATCGGAAATCTAGAATAAATGTTTTATTCAATTAACTGGTTTATTTTTAAAATTGAAGTAGGATGAATGTAATAAAAAACTAAGTAGGCTAAGAAGATAACTATTTTTGTAAGTGACGTCATAGTGAAACAGAAATAACGTGTCGTTTTTACAGTGACTCTTCAGTTTCTTTGTGATTTCTCATCGTCATCCTAAAGTAAATTCTAGAATCCAGATCTAAGTTTATATTTAGTCTACATGTATAGAGATATCTAATTCAGTCTAGAAAGTCCAACAAAATAGCATAACCTTTTAAACTTTTATAAAGATCTCATAAATCTAGATCTGGACTCTTGTCAAAGTCTAGAGTCCTAGACTGAGTGACTAGATAAACTTCACTTACTTCAGTGTATTGAGTTCTCAGTAAATCTAGAATTACTAATCTAGATTAAATGAGAATAAATCAAGCTAGATGTATGGACTATGGTAGTAACCACCTGTAATCAGTGGCTAAATCAGTGACCCACTTGAATTTGAAAAGAAGCATTATTCTAAATTCTTAATTACAATACTTAGTAAAGTTAGCATTGAAAGTTGAAAATAAAACACCTAGCCTAATATTAATTACTAACAATTAGGCCCTATTCAAAATCTAGACCTATGCCCTATATCTACATACTTCTTAATTCTATGTCTGATGCTAAATCTACAGCTCATGAATCTTTGTCAGTTTGAGATAGATCTATATATTTTTAAGTGAGTTCAAATATTAGATATGTTGCCATTTGTATCAATAGTAAGGTTATGTTAATGTAGAAATCATTGTCAGCTGTTGAGATTATTTAGTTTGAAATTTCTCATCGTCAATACTTTGTTTAAACATAAATTGACTTGACTTAGATCTCGTCCTCTTTACTCATTTTGGAGGATAGGGCCTCAAAAACGAAAATTACCTTTTGATTATCATTGTTTCTAGAACAAATAAACAATTCGCTTTAACCTGTTGGATTACTCATAAGTAACATTAACAATTTTAAATTCACTATCTGGATAATTTGTCACAAGTGTTTGCCCATTCTGTTGTTCATTATGTCCAGGTGAGTACTGTTCATGTTAGTTAGAAATATTAATTCACACTTTCCTTCTTCTGTTCTAAGTGGAAAAACATATATAAATTAATGAAGACTATTTTAATCCCTCAGTGAGGAAGATTTGGCAACAGCTATACTCAGACGCAAGGAGCGTCCCAACAGACTCCTTGTGGAAGAGGCAATCAATGAAGATAATTCAGTTGTTTCATTATCACAGGTACTTTTTAAACACACATAAATAATTTTAGTAGCCTAACACAACTACTAAGCATATTTTAAAAATTTCTATGGATTACTCATGATTGCTTTTTCATTTCTAATAGAAAAAAATGGATGAACTCCAATTATTTCGTGGAGACACTGTATTATTAAAAGGAAAAAGACGGAAAGAAACTGTATGCATTGTATTATCTGACGAAACAGTACCAGATGACAAAATACGTATCAATAGATGTGTGCGAAACAACTTGCGGGTCAGGCTTGGAGATGTTGTTAGGTAATGAAAGTTAAATAATTAGGTGACAATAACCTTATTTTAAAATAAGAAAATCAAATGCTTTGTAAGCTTCTCCTGTTTCTGAATGATCATTTAATAAATTAGTTTTTAAAATATTTTTAAATGTTATCAGCATTCAGCCTTGTCCTGATGTAAAATATGGCAAAAGAATTCATGTCCTACCCATAGATGACACAGTGGAAGGTCTTGCAGGGTGAGTTATTTTGTTTTTTATTCCAAGATAAGGTTAGAAATCTCAGTTTTTATCATTTTGCCATTTATTTATGATTAAATACACATTTCTTATTTATAAACACTGAAATATTATGAGTTGCTCCTCTTTGCAGATAGTTCATGATTTTGAACTATCTTTAAATTAACCTTAAATGTGGTAGTGCTTTTTTCAAACATTAAATAAACTAAGTTTGCCTTGCCTAGATCTATATTAAATGTTGCTGTTCTAGATGGCTCTTTTAATATACTAATTATTAAACTCAACTTGTACTAATTTTAATTGTTTTAATCTTTTTAAATGATGATTTGTAATTATTTATTTTTGAAGGAACCTGTTTGAAGTTTTCCTCAAGCCGTATTTCCTAGAAGCATACAGGCCAATTAAAAAGGGTGACATATTTCTCGTTCGTGGTGGAATGAGGGCTGTTGAATTCAAAGTTATTGAAACTGATCCTCAACCTTATTGTATTGTAGCACCAGATACTGTTATTCATTGTGAAGGCGAGCCAGTAAAAAGAGAGGTTTGGTTTACATTTTGACCATTCAAAATATTTAAAATATCAACTAGTAATATTAAGAATTTTACTAGACTAGCTAGATATGTAAGTATTTTTATAAATCTGCTTATAGATAAAACAAAATAGCTACAAATGATTTGACTATTTTAATAATCTTTTAAAAATTAACTGCAGAATTTTAGGTTAAATTTTTAGTGAGCTTTATATTGAGGGTTAGTGATGTCTCCTTAAGAATCTAAGACCTCTTGCTTTGTGAAGTTTTTAAGTAAAAATTTCAAGTCTCAAATTTGTAACATTGTCTTCTAATTAAAATGTAACAATTCTTCAGGAAGAGGAGGAGCAGCTTAATGAAGTTGGTTATGATGACATTGGAGGATGTCGTAAACAACTTGCACAGATTAAAGAAATGGTGGAGCTCCCACTTAGACATCCGCAACTCTTTAAAGCTATTGGAGTGAAGGTAAAGGAAGAGAGGCTTTTTTTTTTCAAACAAAAACATTTTTAAGGCAGTCTCACAAAAATAAACACTGAATATATAAATTTGTTTTATTTTAGCCACCAAGAGGTATACTTTTATATGGACCTCCTGGCACAGGAAAAACATTGATTGCTAGGGCAGTTGCTAATGAAACAGGGGCATTTTTTTTCCTTATTAACGGTAAGTGTGACCATCATGTTAAATGTACAATTTGCTTTTACTATGGTTTTGCAAAAATGAAACTTGACTGTTGAATTTTTTCAGGGCCTGAAATTATGAGTAAGTTGGCTGGAGAATCAGAGAGCAATCTTCGCAAAGCTTTTGAAGAAGCTGAAAAAAATTCACCAGCTATTATTTTTATTGATGAACTTGATGCTATTGCTCCAAAGCGTGAAAAGGTAAAATTATCTTTCTAAAAAAAAAACTAGTTTTAATTAATGATAAGCTGATTTACTAATATAAAAAGAATGATTCAAGAAATATTTTCAAAAATGAAAAAACACTTGACTCGAAGCTTTGAATTCTTAAAATATGTACAGACATTTTCTCTTTTAAATTTGTAACCTTTATATATGTAGTACTTGTTTTTAAAAAAAATGTATAATCTTATCAGACACATGGAGAGGTAGAGAGACGTATAGTTTCACAACTTTTAACTTTAATGGATGGGCTTAAGCAGAGGTCTCATGTCATTGTTATGGCTGCAACCAACAGACCAAATAGTATTGATGCAGCGCTCAGGAGATTTGGTCAGTACTCACTGTTGTTTTGTTAATGATTGCATAAAATTTGTTTCTAAACACTTAAAAAATCAAATTTGTAAAAATTGATATTCAAAGATCATTTTTTTTAAAGCTGTTTTAAATACTACTTTATGTTGCTAGGACGTTTTGACAGAGAAGTTGACATAGGAATTCCAGATGCCACTGGCAGGCTTGAAATTTTAAGAATTCATACCAAAAATATGAAACTTGGAGATGATGTGGATTTGGAACAGGTATGTTGCTCGGAAAGTTCTTATCCCTGAACTCTGACAGAATGGAACAATGGCTTCTTACTAGTTTGTTATGCTTGTTATATCAAACTAATATATATATATGTATGTATATCTATAGTTCTATGTATATATGAAGTCTATTTTATAAATCTTCAAGGTTGCCTCAGAGACACACGGTCATGTTGGTGCAGATTTAGCTGCTTTGTGTTCGGAGGCTGCCCTGCAACAGATAAGAGAGAAAATGGATCTTATTGACCTGGAAGATGAAACTATTGATGCTGAAGTACTGGACTCGTTGGCAGTTACCATGGAAAATTTCAGAGTAAGTAAATTTTGTTTTTAATATAGTGTTTTATGTTTTGTTTTGGCTTTAAAAATATTAAAAGAAAACATTACATACATTTGTAAATAGCTAGGTTTATATTTTTTTTAATTTATTACAGTGGGCTTTGAGCAAGAGCAATCCTAGTGCCTTGCGAGAGACATCAGTGGAAGTGCCCAATGTTTCTTGGGAAGATGTTGGAGGTTTGGAAAATGTCAAAAAAGAACTCCAGGAGTTGGTTCAGGTTGGCTAAAATAAAATTTTATCAGCTCTGGAAACTGCATTATCACATGCTTAACACTGCATTTTTAATTTCTTTTATAATATTGTAATATTTATTTTACACAGTATCCAGTTGAGCACCCTGAGAAGTTCCTGAAGTTTGGCATGACGCCATCAAAAGGTGTTCTATTCTATGGTCCACCTGGTTGTGGTAAGACATTGCTTGCCAAGGCTATTGCCAATGAATGTCAAGCCAATTTTATCTCCATCAAGGGCCCTGAACTTCTCACAATGTGGTTTGGAGAGTCTGAAGCTAACGTCAGAGACATATTTGACAAGGTTAATATAAATTATTTTGTTTACAACTTATTGTTTATCTATAGAGCTTGTTTATTCTAAGAAATTCCCAAAAATGTTTATAGGTAATAATAATTCTTTATCACATCTTCAATAGCTTGGTTGTATATCATTATCTTAGTTTAAATGGATTTATTTAGCATTTTGTTTTCTTAATAGGCTAGGTCAGCTGCTCCATGTGTGCTGTTCTTTGATGAGTTAGATTCTATAGCTAAATCCAGAGGAGGCAATGTTGGTGATGGAGGTAAGATATTTTATGCTATTTCTCTTATTTCTTATTCAAGCTTAAAGCAACAGCTGTGTTAGTTGAATTTTAGTTTGACTGCAGGAACACTTAAGAACATAAAAACCCTTTTTAGAATAGCATGCACTCATCTTGTACTACTTTTGGGAATAGTTTCATAAATACAAAATTATATTACAGGTGGTGCTGCAGACAGAGTAATTAATCAGCTACTGACTGAGATGGATGGCATGTCTGCCAAGAAAAATGTGTTTATCATTGGAGCAACAAACAGACCAGACATTATTGATTCAGCAATCCTTCGCCCTGGCCGTCTTGATCAACTCATTTACATTCCCCTTCCTGATGACAAATCACGTATTCAAATTTTAAAAGCTAACTTGCGGAAGTCACCAATGTCCAAGGTAAAAAAAAGATTTATGAAAGATTTATCCACCCCATTTTGATATGAAATAACTTGGTGACCAGAAAAATGCGCTAAAATCAAGCATTTATAAACATTAACAAAGAATGGCCACATGTGCATTATATCATAATAAAACACTTCCACAAAGTATGATAAAATCAAAGTGTAATAGTATAATATGTTTGTAATAGCACAATTTTCTGTTTGTGTTGTTTTCTGTCTGTGCATTTTTCTGGGAACCAAATAAATTATCAATTTAATTTACATTATTAGCTTATCAAAAATGAATTTCCCTAATTTAGGATGTGGACTTGGAGTATCTTGCTAAAGTAACCAAGGGATTCAGTGGTGCTGATCTGACTGAAATTTGTCAAAGGGCCTGTAAACTTGCCATAAGACAGTCAATTGAAGCAGAAATCCGTACAGAAAGAGAGCGTGCACAAAATCCTGATGGTGACATGGTAAGATATGCCTTTTCTCACGGATGACATTTTAAAAATACATACATTTATTTTTAATAAATATTGTATTCTATATATATATATATATATATATATATATATATATATATATATATATATAAGCAAAATAAAACCTATATCAGTCAACAGTCTGAATTTTTAATACACTGTTTTAAAGGAGGTGGAAGAATATGACCCAGTACCAGAATTAACAAGAGCTCATTTTGAAGAAGCCATGAAATTTGCAAGACGTTCTGTTAGTGAGAATGATATCCGCAAATATGAGATGTTTGCCCAGACCTTACAGCAAAGTAGAGGTTTTGGTGGATTCAGGTTAGTTTGTTCTTTTTTGTTGAAGCTTGAATTCTAATATTCATCATTTGAAAGAAGAGCATTTACGTTTCATTTATTTTCCTAATGCAGATTCCCTGGAGCTTCAGGTCAAGGTCAGAGTGGGTCTGGTGGGGCAGGTCAAGGTGGAAATACTGGAGGGGATGACGGTGATGAAGATCTTTATAGTTAAAACTCAGTTATTTGTTTTCTACCAGCTGCAGTTTACCTAACTTCTAATCTTGCAGCAAGATTCAGTGTTTAATTGTGTTGTTACATTATGCAGTTAATTATTTTTTTGTTCTAATACTTTTTATTTCACAAACAGATGCAAAAAAAACTGACACTTAAATACACTAGCATATTCAATGTGATTAGAACAAATATTTTATTACACTAAATTAGTATAGTTTCCCTGAATAGATCTAAGAAAGTTTTTTTTTTTTTTTAAATTTGTTTATTCTAACTTGCAAAGAGTTAATTTATCATCTGCCATGTTGTCCATAGTAACCTATTTTTATGACAGCTAGTGTTTGATAATTGTTACTGCAATGTAACATGTTCATCCATTTGGTACAGAAAGGTGGTAGCAAACTGTGTATTTTTACAAAGTTCTGAGCAGCTTCTGTTGGGTTTAAAAATTCCATTTGTCACCATTTTCTGTGGTAACTTTATTCACTTAGGATTTACAGAAATGACATTCTTTTATATTTAAAAACTACAGAATTGTTGTTTGCTAATGCATTTTTTTTTTCGGTTCAATAATTTTTAACATTCATTTTACCTTTATCATCAAGATATCCTGTTTTACAGTTTGCTACTGTACTTTATAATGTATGGGCCATCTTTTGTGTTGTTCTTTGAAACTATGAAATAAAATATTAAAATGTTACATTGGTACTTTCCTTTTCTGTACTTGATTTGTTTTTTTTAAATGTTCTAATCATCTAAAAAAAATTGCCTCGAATATCTCAACATATTTGATTGAGGGTTAGCATAAAATAAATGTTACTAGATCTAAATGTTATCAGCTAACTAAAATGTCTTATGTGATAAAATGAATGGTGTATTGAATCCCAATGTTTAACCAGAGGCCACAGGTGGTGGGCTGACAACTCAGTAAAATTCACAACTCAGAACCTCCCAACCCCAGGCATATATGCCAATAACTGAAAATACCAAGCCTTGTATGTTAATTTTTATGGATAAGCATGTTAAGTATTTGTAACCTGATTAATTAATGATAAATACATGTTTGCGATAAAAGTTCATAATTCAAAAAATTTCAGGATCATTACCTTTGGTACTTCCAAAGGCTTGGTAGCTAGTAACATCTCTATCATTGGAAGTCTTTATCATGGCTTGTCACTTCTGCCAAGTATGGGTCAAGTCAATCTTAAATTGATCCTGTGTAGTGTTTTTTTCAATTTGGCTCAAGGACATGTCAGCAGGTGTTTCTTTTCCGTTTTTCTTTAAAACTGGTTGTAAGAGTAGGATGTAACCTATTCAAAGCTATCCTTTTATGGATTTCCTCATCAGCAGCAGTTTGTCTCCCTAAGCTTTGATGCTGTTGGGAGGCCATTATTCTTCAAACTTCTAAAGCAAGTGTTTATTTAGTAGTAGTAAGTTAAATACCCTTTTGAACCTGACAGTGCATGGGGCAGGTGAAATAATAGTCACCCGTTTTTGTGACCTCAGCTTATGGAACGATATTGTGGTCAGCACTTTGCTCAACCGCCTTACTTTCCCTGACGTAGGTACCCATCAGAGCTGTGGTCTGGGGGGGGGGGGGACAAATTGTACTACAGACCTGAAACTGGATTTGACCAGTCCACAGCTGTTTATAAAGGTCTGTATTTAATTATCTTTGTTGTACTCTAACATACAGCAGATAGTGGCAGATATTGTAGGTACTGAGGTGGACCAAAATTAGAATTTGCTACTCTGCAGATAGTAGAGTGATCCCAAAGGCTGTGAAAGTGAACGCCAGATGGTTGGGCTCAGCACTAACAACCCAGACCTGTAACATTTGTTTTGGCGGTGCTTTGATGTCATTTCAATGCTTATAATGTATGCATACACAAATATTTTACGGACTAAAATTAAGAATGAAGTGATGTTGGTGAGCAGTCTCAGGTGCTGGTATACTTATTAAAAGTGGAGATTGCTAAAATAGTTTTGGAAAAATACGAATAATATTCTCTACTTGTCTACATTCTTTGTCAAAAACAGCATGTCAATATTGCAAAATACAAAAAACACCAGGGAAAAGTGTATCATAACTTTAATGAACATTTATATACAAGCAAAATGTTAAACAAAAACAGTCGTCCTTAGAACTATCACAGGCCCAACAATCATAGCATTTAAAATTTAACTTTTGCAAAAATATTTACATATGAAAAATGCAAGGCTCTAATCTCAGAATCTTGAAGTCTAACAAACTGAAAATGACAGTTGAGAAATCTATTTCAAAAACTTGGCTTTTGAATTAGAGATTAAAAATGGAATGCATTTTTTTTAATTAAAAAAAAAACCAAACAACTAATTGTCAAAATTTGTTTTGAAATACAACTGAACTTTTTGAACAGTAATTATTAAAATTTATAAAACTAGTTTCAAGAATTTTTAACATTTTAAAAAACATTAGCCCCATTCTTCATCATCATCATCAACATCAGCACCTTTTCCAGAAGCCCAATTATTTTCAGTATTTGATCCTCCACCTCCTTCAAACTGAAAAACATTTAAAAACAGAAACTTTTTTCAATAAAGAGAATTTTATGTATAAGAAATCATGTGAAAATATTTTTAGCATAGGTATTAAGGAAACTAAGGAAATTAAGATCTATATTTGTACCTTTCCATGTCTGATGTCCTTTCCACCAAACTTTCCTCCAAAGCAGCCGGCATCCCCAGATCCCATACCACTTGCATGTGCAGCAAGCCAATCAGGGACAGGTTGCTTAGCCTAGAAGAAATCAAGAAATACAATATTTAATCTGTATTATAGAGATTTGAAGAAATGTTTTTTTTTTATATTTTTTAAAATCATAAGCCTTTATTTTTTTTTAAAGAATTCCCTCCCAGTTCCTGCTTTCCCCCTTCACACCAATGACTTATAAAAGATCCATGCCAAATAATGTTGCACTAGTCTTACATCATCAATGATTAATAATCATGCCAATTTTTTATTTTAAAAGCGCTGCGAAGTTATTTAAAATTATTGTTAGTAAATCTCATAAATAACACTGTTGAGTTGTGACTAAAGTGACCAGTCAATAAATCTTTTTGGATAATGGAGCTCATCTCATTTGTTTGTAAAAAGACTATTCCAAAAGCCTTCCCCAGATACTAAACTAAGTAGCTGATCCAAGTCTGCCTCAGTAACATTAAAAAAATTTAAAAAATATTTTCAGTGATTTCAGGACACCTTAAAATTTTTGGAGGTGGGAACCTTGTTTATTTTCATCTTTATCCTAACAAAAGGGAGGTTGGGTAAATATTTGCCAGATATACAACAGTAAAGTTTTATTAACATTATCCAAAGATGCCACAATTTATTATACAATCATGTGGGTGAAAACAGCAAAATGAAAAGTTAAAAAAGTAACTTTTGCTCCAAATTTATTATTTTTCAAATCTAATCCTGACCAGGGGGAAATTTTAGTTCAAACTTTTACTCCTATTTTCTGTTTTAAGAACACTGTATTTAATATAAATGTACCTCTTTTAGAATTCTGACAAGATGTCCAGCCATTGGTTGATCAGTGTCAGCATTGAAAAAGCTTGTTGCTTTACCAAGATTTCCACAGCGACCTGTTCGACCAATTCTGTGAACATATTCATCTATAGAGCTTGGCAGATCATAGTTAACCACATGCATAACTCCAGGTATATCAAGGCCACGAGCAGCAACTGATGTTGCGACCAACACATAAGATTTCCCATTTTTAAAATCGTGCAATGCTTCTTCCCGCTCTCTCTGAAGACGATCACTGAAAAAGAAAATTGTGATTAGGATTTGCTACAAATAAGCATAAACCAAATTAACAAATCAATTATATTTTTATGAATAGAATAAGCACTTACCCGTGGATACTTGTTGTTGGAAAGCCTGACTGACACAAATATGATGCTAAGAAGTCTGCATTCCTTTTCATCTCAACAAACACCAATGTTCTTTCATTACCTGAAAAATGGTCATGTTGGTTTAAATAAAAAATCATTTAAAAATATATAAAGGAAACATGTCTAAGAAATAAATTTAATAAATCATTAATATGGAAAATTGACCGTACCTCCAGCATTTAAGATATCACACAAGGACTCTCTTTTCTGCAATCTATCAACCTCAAAGAAATTTTGAGAAACATCTGTGTTAGCTCCACCTACTCTGCCCACTGTTACAAATAAGTAGTCATTTAGAAAGTCAGCAGCCAGCTTCTGTATTTCCTCAGGGAATGTGGCAGAAAACATTAGAGTTTGTCTCTCTGTCTTCGGGGGCATTCCCATTGTCTCCACCAATTTTCTAATTTCAGGTTCAAAACCCATATCAAGCATTCTATCTGCTTCATCCAATATTAAAAATGAAACTTGAGATAAACTGATCTGGGAAAAAGAATGATAAATTTATTAATTATAGAGGTAATATTTTAGAAACATTTAGTATAAAAAATAAAATAATGAATATATACCTTTCCACGTGCTATAAAGTCAAGTAGCCGTCCTGGAGTTCCTATTACAAAATTAGCACCCTGCTCTACTTGCTTTAGTTGGTATCCAACAGATGTACCACCATATATAACAACAGCTCGAATATCAGTCTGATATGCAAATTTACGACAGTCATTATAAATCTGAAGAGCCAATTCTCTTGTAGGTGCAACACAAATGGCTTGAGGCAGCTGAACTTCTTGATATCTATCAGTAGTTAAACCTTTGTTGATCATGCTTGTCAAGACAGGTAATAAAAATGCTGCCTGTAGACATAATGAGTGGGGAATTTTTGTTTTAGCGTAAGTTCGGTAACACTAGCAGGTACATTAACAATGATACATTCTAAAATTATTAAGCATACAACAATGCAATCATATTAATATACAAATACTTGGCAAAAAGAGTTAACTCACAGTTTTTCCTGAGCCTGTCTGTGCACATGCCATCAGATCTCGTCCTGCTGTAATTATTGGTATAGAGTATTTTTGAATTGGAGTGGGGCGTTCGTAATTTGCTTTTTGCACATTCCTTAAAAATGTTGGGTGTAATCCACCTTCATCAAAAGAACTTATAAAACCACACTGATCACGCCCACTGACTTCTACTGGTATGTCATCATATTTGTCAAAGTTGATTCCTTTTTGCACAGTTCCACCAAAAATATCCTCCTCTTTCTCTGAGGGTGTTGGGGGGATATATGGAGCTTCTCTTGGTTTTTCTGCTAAATAGATGAAAGTAATCATTAATACATAGTTGGGTATTTTTAGTAACATATTCAAATAAGGTGTCCAAAAAATGCATTTTGATTTAGCAACAAACAAAATTGTACAATAGGTTTAACAAAAAAATGTATGGAACTTACCACCACTTGCTTCACTGAAAAAATAAACAAAATTTACTTGAGTAAAGATAAACGCAGATGCAAGGAGTTAATGATTTTTATGTAATTGTACACTTTTCCTTTTATTATACAAGGGCATTCAAAAGATACAAAAATAAAAAAAATAAAAATTTTAAATCAATCTAGTCTATTGTTACCTGTCTAGTCCTGGCTTGGGTGTGTCACATTTCTTACATGTCTTTCTGAAGGCAAAGTTATTGTTACCACAGCTCCTATTAAAAAATCAACTTGGTAATGTATCATGGCCACAATTCAAACAAAACAGGAAATTTTTAAAACAAAACATTTCAAAGTTTGAATTAAAATCCTAAAATTGTGCTGGCAACTGAGAATAGATTTCTCAAATGTTTGCTATACTGATTTATTAAGGACTGAAAAAGAGTATTGATTTATAAAGCTCTTAAAACTCTCCTAATATTAAGCTTGAATAAACTTACGAATCAGGGCAAATCCACTCCCCTTTTTTATCCTTGTCAGCATCACCTGCTGGACCACTACCACCACCACCCCGAAACCCACCATTTCTCATTCCATCACCTCCAAATGATTGACCTATAATTTATAAGTTTATATAAATTAAAATCATTAAAAAAAAATTTACATTTCAGACAACAATGAAAATGTATATTTTGCTGAACACTGCAATCTAAAGTTGCATTTAAAATAGGGCTTTTGTTATCATATATACATTAAAATTTATGTGAAAGATATCTAATGGTAAATTTAGCTTAACAAAAAGAATTAGTTAACTTAATGTGCCAAATACAAATTGAAAAAAATTTTCTTTAAAATTTGTAATTGCTGAATAAAGTTAGCACATTATCGAGTTAAAATAATGTATTCAAATAAAGTTAACAATGCTCATTTGTTTTATGGAAACATCGATAAAACAAGCTATTTTCAAGGTGTAAGTAAATGTGATATAATTTTATATAATATAAATTGTTTTAGAATCAGCTCATGTTATTTAAAATAAGTTCAGAAAAAAAATGTATTCCAACAGTAAAAAAAAAAACTGAATTTAAATAATACCTTGATCATCATCTGCAATACAAGTTAGAAATGATGAAACTCAAAATTAATGATGGATCTTTATATAGTGGTTTAAGTGTAGTTTTCACATTTTGAACATTAAAAAAGGGGTGAAGAACTTAGTACAATTTAATTTTTAACATGTTTGCTATTCTAGTTCTTACAAAGGAGCTTTTGATGTGAGAAAAGAAACTTAATTATATTTTATAATTATTAATGTTAATTTTTTTACCTGTTCTGTTCCCTGCTCTACCGCCTCCACCAAATCCACCACCGCCTCCACCAAATCCACCACCACCTCCACCACTTCTACCAAATCCTCCTCCTCCACCACCACCACTTCTGAAAAGTAGAATTATTAGTTAACCTAATTGATCAGCAATAACTAACACAAATTGGTAAGATTATTTAACCAATTCTGATCTTCTCAACATAACTCCAATAATTTAAAATATTTTAGGAAAGCGGTTTCTAGATGTGGCTAGTAATTTACTCAATAGCTTAAATTGTGGTTGGCAAGGTCATATTTACAGATTTATGTTAATTTGGTAACAAAATAGCAACATCTGAAACACATCTGCACATACTTCATTTTATCTTTCCAGGTACAGTAAGTATGCTGCTTTTTAAACCTTACAGTCCTCACCTACTTTTTGCTCTATTAGCTCAGTACCACATATCTCTTCTTTTTCGTTCTTAATTTTTAGTGTTGGAAGGAATCGAGCCTTATCTGCCAGGGGGTTAAACTCGAGACTTTTTTCGAATTTATCAACCATGAGCTTTGCAGACTCTACCATGCTTCCATCACAATTACGTGTCAACTGGTTATGCGCCATTGAGGCCATTGACTCCGATTTCAGCCTGCTTTTCTTTTTGGATTTGCTTTTCTTTTTGGATTTGCTTCCATAGCCTTTGTCCAACCAAGAACAAACTACAAGGCAGCAGTTGTTTGATTTTGGAGTTGTCTCTCCTAGAAGAGTGGCTGTCCCCAGCTAACGAGCCTCATCTGCCCGAGGGTGAGACTTTTCGGTTTAGCAACCATGAGATTTACTGACTCGACCACGCAGACACTACATATCTAATAAATTTGGGGTTTTTTTTTTATATTTGTTGGAAAAATCATTTAAATATATTATTTACACAAAAAAGATTATAAAATGGAACAACCCAAGCAGTGAAAAGTGCTAATGCATAAATTGAGCACAACAAATATCATTGCACGTACAAGGTCTGCATCTCAAGATGTCAATTGTTCAGGACTAGCGTTGGAAATGTGTAACCCTGTCATTCCAATTTATTTGAAGTTTGAAAATTAAAAATTAATATTTTAAAACTTACCCATCTTCAGGCTTATCTGTGTCACATTTCTGACATTGTTTTCTAAAGGCAAAATTGTTGTTACCACAATCACTGTAATATGTACATTTAAGAAACTATTAATTTGTAAACATGGATTTATAATAATAGAAAGAAAACACAAAACATTAATTAAAAGAGAAATACTTGAATCTAATTCTAAATCAATTTTTATTAATTGCACGAAATCTATTCAAACAAACATACGAATTGGGGCACTTCCAGTCTCCTTCTCTTTTACCACGGCCACCACCTAAATGAATAGGGTTATTAGCAACACTGTATACATAAACTGAGATTTCAACATTCATAAATATATATTTAGCATTGCTATGCGCTTACCTGAGGACATTTTGTTCTCTTCATTCTCAAAACGTCTACTCCCAAAACCACTATTTCTACTTCTAGGAGCGTCATCATCGTCATCAGAGCCTTTTCTATTTCCAAAGCCAGTGCTCCCCCCTCTTGATCCAAATCCACTTCTATCCCCGAAACCATTGGATTGTTCAGAATTTCCAAAACCAGCAGCATTTCCCCGCCCCATTCCTCTCATCTTGTCACCAAAAACCTGAGCAACAGTTCCTCTTCTGAAAATAAAAACCTTACAAGGTACACATTTTAAAATTCTAAGCTAATTTAAAATATTTGCTACAAAGAAAATCCATTATTTTAAAATGCAGGAAAACTTACCCCAGCCCTGAACTGCTTGATATAACAACCTGAAATTTTAAAATTTGACATTTTAATTTATTATTTATAGTAATAGTGTATTAGATGGTAATAAACAAGAACAAAGAAGAGCCATTGACAGATGTAGAAAATTAGGTGGATCCAAAATTTATTTAACTGTCTTGGATGTACATTGTTTTTAATTGATTAAAAAATTCTTGGGGCTTAATAGTGTAGTATGTGCATGAGAACAATTAAAAATTTTAAACTGAGGAGCTTGTATAAAGACATTTGGTCAGTTTAACCTAGTATACTTTTTCAACAAATCTTTTTTTTTATATTAAAGAAACAAGATCAAAATCTTTGTCAATTTTAAGCGTCACTTCTATTATTGCCCAACCACATTTTCTTGTCAGAGGGAGAAAAATTCTGACACAATCAAGGGGCAACTGAGTTCACAGTAGCAGGTCTATCTGTCATAGCATGAACAATTGCTATTTGAGATTGCTGATGTCCCTTTTGTTTTTCCCCAAGCAAAATGAAAAAGGTGTGAGTTCACAAAAGCATTTATTATAGCCTACCACCACACTTAGTATTCAAGAAACCAGACTCAGGAATTGTAGCCTACATTTCTTTAATATATTTATATTTTATAAATTTCTGATTGAAAATTAAATTATGTTTAAATTAGGCGTATTGTACAAGAAAAAAAACTAGATCTACATTGCATTAATATCCTAACTATAGGCCTATGTGCATTTATTTTTATGACTGGGACAAAAAAATATTTAGATCTAGATTCTAATTAATCAAGAAAATGTACATGCAGCAGAGAAAGTTTGTACCATAGATCTGACTACTGTTCTATTGATATCAGGTATTATAAGAATAAGTCACAGCAAACTGAATACACTTTATAAGTATTATATAATTATTGGGTTAGCAAATACTAAATCTAATGCAGCCATGGCTATTCGGCCGCAATATAATAAAACATTTTTAAAAAAGACGCTTAATCTGGATTAGGTTGTGCTCATCCCCACGACATAAAAATGGCCACCTACGTGTTGCATTGCTGTTGAAATTAAACTAATTAAATTGCTCCCCCAATGCAATCAAAATTATTAAATGGAACTTACTTTATTTTGTCATTAATGGACTTGTGGATGGACATATTCAAATCTAGATCTAAATTCTACCGCAAATGCTAAGTTTATGTATTAAAAAAATCGAGATAATAGCACAACTATTAAATGATGATGATAACAAAGAACGTAGCCTGTACACTTCTATACAGGCAGTTACTCTGCATGAATATTAAAAGCAACTGAGTGGTAGCTTGGTATTTATTTTTATTCCTAGATATTCAATTTAAGCCAAAAATTGACCAGACACCAGTAGCAATTTTAAAAGTCAGAATGAATTTAGCCTGTCGATTGATCTCTTTTTTTACCGACATCATGGTAATGATGGCTGCGGAAAACGACAATACCGTGATACCATTTTTTAACAATGTTTCATGGTCATTCGTACATTTTTTTGGTCTAATCGCTGATAATCTAGCTGACAACACATTGCTGAACGGCAGTGAGCAGTCAATAGCGTCAAGACAACACTCATTAAAAAACTAACCCATAGAATGATAGATCTCTAGTATCACTGAAAATCAGTCATATCATTGTAGCCATTTAAAAACCATAGCGTTTTTCCACAATTCATTTTCTAGGCTACAGATTAAATTTGATAAATAAAATTGCAAATTGGTATCTAATTAAAGGTAAATAGGCCCTAAATGTAGTTTTTAACTGTTTAAGTCATCTTGACTTAGTCTTAAAATAACAAAGTTTAAAATCTTAGGCAACACCCTAATGAATTGACTGCTAGATTCTAGATCTAGATCTCTCTAGATCTAAAACCTAGACTAGAGATTCTTAAAGCTAGACTACATCACTGATGTGACTGAAATCTGTTTTACGCCATATTTTAAATTTTCAAGATAGATTCTAGATCTAGAGAATCTAGATCTAGAAACTTACATTTTCAGACTCATCATCCCAGTCATCATCCATGATGGTCTGTACTCTGTACTGTAGATCTAAAAGCGGGAGTCCCAAGGTAGTATAATGATAAGGCCCGATCTACTGGTGCAAGGCTAAATATAAAGTAAAATTGCAACTTAACTAAATCTAGAGATCTAGATATTGATGCTAGATCTATACTAGACTCTAGATCTACACTGACTAGATAATCTGTAAGGCCTGCTGTTCCCCGCAGAAGTAGGCCTATGGGATCTCCGGTTGGAAAGGCGCGAAAAGTGCTATCCCTTGGCTCACACGTGACGATAATTTACACCTGAGGTTGGCTGACGAAGCCTTTAAAAAGCATTTAGACTAGGCTATGTCTATTTTAATGCATATTTCATCAAAGAGTCTAGATCTAGTTTAATTTATAATCTAGATCTAGTTCTAGAATAGATCTATTTGTTGAATCTAGTAGGCTTTATTTGCTAAGTGGCGTGTTAAACTACACGTGCCCGTTGATGAGTCTGTAACGACGCTGTGTGGACGGACACATGTCACACTGCCGTCGAATTGGGAGGAGGGTACCAAATAAGGCAACGATTACTTAATAAATTATTGGGCAAGCTAGGGCCACTACACTCTTGAAGCGAAGTAACCAAGCGGAGGAGTTGGCTGTTAGATCTATATTCGATTCCGTTTAACAGTATCGTATCGCTAATAACAATTATAATAGACCGTCTCCGATTTTAAAAATAGGTTTAAAAAATTAAATTTGCAGATTTTCAAAAGGCCCATAACGTATGAAGTAAACAATATAGATCTAGCGTTAAAACGTTATTAAAAATCCAAAGAATAGAATCGGAGACGGCTTGAATTGTTAATTTATTTACTGTTTAGAAAAGTGAGGAAAATAGTTTTTTAATATATGGTTTTGTGCAAATAAAAAGAAAGCGCTAATTTATTATAGCCCTATTGTTTGTTTTCATTTTGCAGTGGAACAAAAAAAAAAGCAACTTTTTACAATATCCCAAATTGTTTAATTTTCGGCTAAAAAGAATTGAATCTACTTAGCCTTAATTGTAATTTAATATCGATTGTGCAATTTTTTTCTGGATGGCCACTTAGACAACGTATTATATTACCCAAGGACATGGCTGTAAAAATGTCAGATATTGAAGTTGAAGGCAAAAAAAGAAATGTCGCTTCTAATCAAACCAAAACAAATCGACCTAATCGGAAGGTCTTATGATATCCATAAAAAAGCTATTTGTCATATGGCTCTGTGACGTATCTCCGGTCAGTTGGAATGCTGATAAAATAAATCCTTTCATCAAAATGACCCCCTCAAATAATTGGCTACTTAAGCCTAGGCACATCAGAGCTAATTGGGCTCAGAGACCCCCACCCCGTATCCAACCTGGGCCCAGCAGAGCTAGTTGGGCTCAGGGTCCCCACCTTATCCAGCCTAGACCCAGCAGAGCTAGTTAGGCCCAGAGGCCCCCACCGTATCCAGCCTAAGGCCAGCAGAGCTAGTTGGGCTCAGGGGCCCCACTGTATCCAGTCTAGGCCCAGCTAGTCTTTGTATGTTTTTCTAAAATATTTAACGGACAACAGTTTATGTATTATAAGGGACTATGGAGGAAGATTCAAGCAACTTTGTAAGTATAAGCAATAACAATCAAGCACAATATTTACGACAAATGTAACTGTCAAGTAATTGCGGACCCCCCCCCCCCTTCTTAATATATTCGGCCCCTCTCTCCCTTTCGCACTTTTGCAATCCGGCCCCAGTGTTGTTATGCCAATGTATGGACGTAATATGGGGCCCCGATTCGGCTATTAAAGGGAGAGCAATAAGTCACGGAAATCATTTGAATGTTTGCCAATCCTTTACACTCTAGTTCGTGTGGTAGTTTTGCATATATTTCCGCAACAGCTGTGGTTTAGTGACGGTTGAATAAAGATAATCAAATCACAGCTGTATTACTCTACTATCAAGGGAAAAGATGCACGAAAATTAAAATTGAGGTTAATTTATATTTTAATTTGTTTATGATCGGGTGTGGGCCTACCTCGTCATTCCCCCCCCCATCTACACCCCCCCACCCACCCGTCCCGCATAGCCTGGAGATAGGGTAGTTGGTAGTATGCCATGTTCGGAATTTACTAAATTGTAGAGGTATCAATTAAAAGAGTAATTATTAGTGTGTCTATATTGATTTCTTTACATTTTAGGGGCAACGGTGTAGGAATGGGTGCAGGTGATATTTAAATGTTTATTTTTATTAACACAGTTTTCCTGGTGGGTTTTTTTTTTAGAAGAGAGAATAAGCTTCTCTAAAGCTGTTTTACTTTAAACCCAGTCGTTGAGCGATAGGCCTATAAAATTTAAATGCCAGATATCCCTATTTCACTGCACTTCAACAAACGCCTTACAGTCTGACATTTAGGAACATGGTTTCTTTCATGTATCTCTCGGGGGAGTATTATATACTTTAACCATTATACACCCCATCCCATGAAGTTTCATGTGTCCCCTCCCTTTTTAGACTTTAGAGAAACAAATTTCTGAGAGAAACCGTGGGCGATTGAGACGCTGCAAGACGTATAAATAAGGTAGAACTGGTAGTTAAGGGGGTTGACGCCCTAACTATAGCCACGACCTTGGCTTTTGTGTGACCACTGTCGGGTCTGACAATGTAATAAATCTACTTCCAACCTGGAGAATCGAATTTCTTTTTAGAGTTTTGGCATCCAGGACCCATCGCATGCGCTATTATTTACAAGCCATAGAGATGGCGGAGGGCCTGGCCTAGAGTTAGAGCATTCGACTGCTATCCCAATGGTCTCGTGCTCCAACCAGGTTTCAAGTCAGAGTTCACCCCGTTCGGCTGGACATAGCGCTGACTACACCATCCTTTCAAGGAACATACTTCACTTGCCCCACGGACCATCAAGTTGGAAAAGAGAACCCCACTTTATATAGATGAAGATATGAATATATCTACATTTTAAAATCATGCTGCTACTAACACACTATTTCTATTCGTTGATTTTTTTTTTCAGCTTCATAAAGTTTCTTCGGGAAGGCAGTGCTTCACGAGAAAAGTTCATGCAAATTCGTGAAACTCTTTATACATGCATATTGATCTGAGCTCGGTTTTATTTAATTTTTTAAATGCATTTTACTTCACTTCAAGCTTAGACGTCGCCCTTTCAACCATAGCCATTGATTGTCGTCGTGTCATTGCACCCTAATAAAAGTCTAGTTGTGTATCGTGATGGGTGGATCAAGACCTTACTTTTTGTGTTGGGAGTGGGGCAAAGTTATTAAACTATATATATATATATATATATATATATATATATATATATATATATATATATATATATAATATACATATGTATGCCTATATTGTTAGGCACCCATCTCATACCATGGTGCTTTAGAACTAGGAGGCCGTAAACAAATAGGCATATAATATAGGAGAATTAGCACACACGATTCATCACTATTTCTCTAATGTTAATTTTACCACAAAGTTATACCACCTAACATACAGTAACCAATTAGTTATACACACGATATACAATCAATATCGATTATTTTTTAAAGTCGATATCGTGGACTCCTGAATGGAACAGATTTCTCAATCAAGACCAAAAATGTCTATATTTTTATGTCAGTCCTCAGTTTAGTGCGCACAGTGGACCCAAAAATGCACTAGGTAGGCCTACTTAAGTTGGAGATGGTGACTCTCACCTAGTTCCTTAGTGAAGAGAGACAGGACATATTTTTCACCGGCACTTTTCGATAAGGGGGTCGTCCATAAATGACGTCACGCTTTTTTGGACGATTTTTACCTCCCCCCTCCATTCCGTCACACATCGTCACAAAAAGCCAGACCCCCCCCCCCTCAAAATTGCAATTGAATTTTTCTTAAAACAACGATATTTTTCCAAAATCTTGTCTGAACTCTCTCAACAAAGAGTATTTTAATCAATTCCTATTACAATTTATTAAAACAGTTTTCTAAAACGCGAAATAACGGCTAAAATTCATTTTCCAACATTACTTTTTGTTCATGCAAAAATATGACGTCCCACTATCTGAACCCCCTCATCACACGCCGTCACAAAATTACGGACCCCCCCCCCTACCCCCTACGAGTGTGACGTCATTTATAGACGACCCCTAATTCTTTCTGTTAATACTTTTAGTTAAAATATCGTCAAAAACTTATTACTTGAGACTTGTCCTTAGCGTAGCCACCCCCCCCCCCCGTGTAAATGGACGGCACACCACTGAATGAAATAACTATCTATGTATTCTGTACATAATAACGAGTTCTACGAATTAGACCCTTATACTATTAAAGCATCACGCGAGCGACGCCCGAAACTAAAAATAGGCCCCGCTGTCTTAGCCTTACACTGTCCCCTGTTTCACCCTGACTACATAACCTCGGTCTACGTCCTCGCTTCCCCCCCCCCCCCCCCCCTCTCCCCCCCCCCCCCTCCCCCGGGTGTGACACTAATGGTCGTCGTATCGAATTACGATAAACACGGCCTGTCCCGTTCAGGTGGGGGATAGCCCAACCCATTCAATGATTCGTGGTCATCCTACACAGGTCACGATTACCCAGTCCGATGCTAAAGGCCCGCTAGTCTATGTAGCGTATATGAGCATGTAGGTACATGTGTTAGCCAAAACGGCTCCATGCTTACATTCAATTTCTTGTATGCTTCAGAACATTAGGCTCTTGTCTAGCATTGTCTATCGGTACAGTCGGTACTAAAGTATTAATATGGGCTCTCGCGGCACACTCTTACCCCGCTGTAGACCTACAGCTTTCATGACATACTAATATAATATTGCACTGCAAGCACAAGAACAATATTATTACATACAAACACACACATACACACACACACACACACACATATATATACATATATATATATATATATATATATATATATATATATATATATATATATATATATATATATATATATATATATATATATATATATATATATATATATATATATATATAT